AGCATATTGTAATTCTCCCATGAGAAGAACTTTTCAAATAACATTTTGAGATGTTAAAATCTGTTTTGGAAAGCTTTCATTCTGCATACTGAGCAACAGAGGTGGCTGTTCAGGAAGAGGTTATAAAAGTTAGTTCTGCAGAGGTTTTTGGCTTCCGCATCTCAGAAATTATACTATGTGTATTGCCAAGAAGTGATGTGTGAAAATCCCCTAATCTGGACCACATGATGGCGCTTTCAGCACTGTCAGCATTAACCATTCACTCTAATTTGTTCTATAAAATCACATTTGCTTTTCACTGTTTCTTGGCTTTTGGCTCACAATTAAAGAAACTTCCTTCCTTCAAAGACTTTTCAGAGCCTACATTAAGCCAAAGATGATTTATAAATGCAAACATATCCCTCTCTAAATCACACTGCCTCAGACTATCAAAACTGTATATGTGGTCTATTTTTGGCCACTAATTGGGTAAAAAATTTCTAACTCACAAGATGAGAAACATCATACTGCATTATGACCTAAACCATTCTAGGCCAATGCTTTGTCTCTAACAGGATATCAAGGCACATTTTGTGAAAAGTACTACTGCCATCCATGTCTTTAATGATAAATTTCAGCTGTTTTCTCAGATCTTAAAATGAAGGACTAAAAAATCTCCAAAGCCTTTCTAACTTCAAAGCCTTGATCAAAGTATGGTACTAGAATTTATTATGAATTTGTCTAAATTGTTTTTGTAGTCACTTATACATCTGTACTGATAAGACAGTAAATATGCTATGGTATAAAGTCTTATAAATTTTAAGGGACATTACTAGGTTTTAGTATTTTAGATTCTGATAAGTTTATATTCGTGTTCATAATAATGGAAGATCAATGTTCTATTTCCAAAAGGTATGTGAGACCAGGGTGTCCCCAAAAAGATTAACTTCAAATTGTTTAGGATATAACTTAAAAATATCCCTGACTTTTCTTTGTAATTTAAAAACTGGTCCAGTCCTTTATCACTGTTAGCTTTATAGAATTCAAATTATTAAAGCCAGTAACTTTTATCCTTAAATCAGATAGAATTTGTTATAAGGTAGTATAAGTTTATCTGGTCTTATGCTGACAATTTTCACTTTTATAAATAAAACATTTCCTTATCTAAAAAACTTTCACTACAGTAGCAGTTACTAAAGATACAACTGACTCAGAACTGTTAAATAATAGCACTAAAGGGAACTAACAGGCTAAATGCAACTTTCTGCTTTTACAAATGAGGAGACTGGGTAAGGTCTAATGCTGATAACAGCTCTCCTATAGAAAAACAACTAAAAACCTGAGCTACATTTAGTAAAAATGTTCTTCAAATTGCAGATTAAGGGTATTGCCACCAGCATTTTACAATACCAACAGAGCAGAAAGTAACATAGGTGCTTCAATAACTCTTTTCCCCCAGTTATATGCATACAACAGATCATAGTGTAAAATGCATTCATGACAGTCAGTTCAGAAGTCACTGCAATACCTAATTTTTGAGTAGATTTAAAATTTTACTTTTAAAGTTTATTAATTTACTACTATGGTACTAATTTTACTTAGTACAATGAGTACCACAGTATCACTAAGCTAACAAATATATCTGTGTTTTAAATACTTAATGATATCATTTAAAATAGGTCATATTTTCCCTTAAAAAAAAAAAAAGACTGGTTGTGAACCATCTATGAACAGAGAGATCTTTTAAGTGTCGTATCTCTGCAGGGCTTCTATGTGTAACAGCTAAACAACCTTTTTCAAATAGCAAATTCTAGAATTTTGATCCTAGAGTTCTGATCTTTAGCAAACACTCAAACAAACAACAACAACAAAACAAAAACAAAAAAACAAAAAACACATCACCAAAAAACACCCAAAATATTTGTGAAAAAAAAAAAACAGTGACCTCTAGTGGACTCATTAAATGACACTGACATAATCCTCGTTCCTAATAATTTAGAAATTAAAGTAACACTGATATATACAGGTAAAAAAGATACTGATATCATAAAATTGAAAAGTATCATATAAAATTAAGGGCTATTGTTACATTATGTACAATGGGACAAATGTATATTTATAAATTACTTACTGGTTTCTTCCAATCAAGTGAGAAATGAGCAGAATTCTGGCCTTATTCAGAATCTATCACTAGCTTAAGAAAAACATTTAGGCTTTTTAAGCTTGTTTAATGAAGGTGTCCAGTTAAACCTAGGGATTCTTTAAGTGCTTTAATTATAATTCTTTCTTCTTTAACTCATCTTTTAAACCAACACCATATTAAGTTCTGCTCAAAAAATATCTGCTGGTTCCACAATGCTTGAGAAAATACTAAACTTAGCTTGCCTCTTATTATTTGAGTATCATTATCTTTTTCTTACCATAATATACAGAAATTTCCTCCAATCTACGAGGGATACATTACAAGACACCACCCCTCTGGGGATGCCTGAAACCATGGGTAGTACCAAACCCTACACTACATAATATGTGGTTTTTTTCTTTTCTTTTTTTTTTATAGTAAGTCACTAACAGGTGAGTAGGAATACAGTGTGGATACACTGCGAAAAGTAACAATTCATATTCTGGGTAGGAGAAAGCCAGACTGTATGAGATTTTTATCAGTCAGAATGGTGTGAAATTTAAAAAACTTATACAGTTTTGTTTATTTCTGGAAATTTCCATAGAAAATTTTCAGAGTGCAGTTGACTGTAGGTTAACTTAAACAAAAGAAAGTAAAACCATGGCCAAGGGGGGACTACTGTGTACTCCTTATTTCAAGTGAGCCAATGTTCAATACCCCAACCCACTACCATGAATTTTCCTCCCTTTTACCATTTCTCATTAAGTAACTTCCTAAACTTACTAACTTACATTGCATGTACCCATTAGAGTTGGTAAAAAATTGTTCTGCCATCTCAATTATTGTTAAAGTCACAGGTTTTTCATTTGTTTGTTTTGGTTTTATAAGACAAGATCTCACTATGTAGTTCAGGCAGGCCTTGAGCTCACAACAATGTTACTATCTCAGCCTCTGGAGTGCTAGGATTAATAGCGCATGCCACTATGCCTAGACACAGGCTGATTTTTATACATTTGTGTGTGTGTGTGTGTGTGTGTGTGTGTGTATACACATGCACACGTAGTGCCTGTCAGGAACTAAGCACATAATACACATTTTGGATATAAATTATCAGTTTCGATGAGGCAAACATAGGCCATTTTCATTTTTCTTTTGTTCCAAAGTATCTAAGTATTTTGAAATACAAATTCAGTGAGGTAGGGAAGGACACATGATAAGGTGGAATTTCAAGAACAAAGTGACATAGTTTTAATTTCGGGGGAAAAGTAGGCATTTGGAACATAATATGGTAAAATATTAGGAAAAGGTTAAAGGAAAGACATTAGTTTAAAAAAGTAGTGCAGTTCCTCGTTAGTATAGTGGTGAGTATCCCCGCCCGTCACGCGGGAGACCGGGGTTCAATTCCCCGACGGGGAGGCACAAAAACTTTGGGGCTGGGGATTTAGCTCAGCGGCAAAAGCGCCTGCCTGGCAAGCGCAAGGTCGTGAGTTCGGTTCCCGGTACCGGAGAAACGCCCCCCCCCAAAAAAAAAAATAAATAAAAAAAAAAATAAAAAAAAAATTAAAAAGTACTAATAACTATGTTAGAAGTAAGTAAGGGATGGCAGGAAAGGCAGTTTGTAAATGGTTTGAGGCACATATAAGGACAGCACAGTGGCTTAAATTTAATGCGCATAGGAGTATTTTGGAAATAAAGTTAACAATAATTTAAGAAAACACTGGTCTTGGTGGGGAATGGAATATATCACTATTGTAAGGCTAAGGCTGTAATTGGCATCTGGTGAAAGAAATATTAAAACAGGAGAAAGAGAGTAAAAGTAAAAAAAGGGCATAGTTTTCCAGTTATCTTGGACAATGCAATAATTGTACAACCTCCAGCTAAGGAAGTTGACAGTTACTTTGAAATAATGAACAATTTAGTCTTTATTATGTTCAATTCAATTAAGGCAACAGGTGAGTTTTACATATTTGAAACTACACAGGATTGGATTGGCAAGCAAAGATGTCTGTCATCAAAAGTCCTATCATTACCACACTTCAACTGATGCTAGTTGAATTTAGAGTGGTATCATGTAATCTTCATCAGATAAGACTTCAAGCTTTCTTAGTTTAAGGCAAAGCTCTTCCGTTATTGCAACTCATCACATTTTAGTCATCTAGTTAGTACAGATCTTCACTATATTCTCATAAGTAACATTATGTTATGTTATTATAATACTCTGAGATATGAACTGTATGAGACATTATTTAACCTCGTTCAGCCTGTGGACTTTCCAGACAATATAATCTAATTAGCATCATGACTTCTGCTACCTTTATTATAGAATCATGCCACTTCATTCTCAATAATAAATTTTTCCAAATTCAGCATCTAGCAAAATATTGCGCATGTTTAAATATTTCCAAGAGGCAAAACCCTCGGCAATGACCATAAACTTATTTGCAAAAAAAAAAAAATACTGCCTTTTAAAAAAAAAATCTGGGCTTAAATTTATAAAATATCATGCTAATTTTAATACAGATTAAATGAGTTGGTAAAACTTTTAAACTTCAGTATATATAGTTTCCTAAATGAGTTCAATTGGATTCCAAGACCTAATATCTTCTGAAAAAACAATATTCTTAACTCAGAACTATTAGATGATAAAGGTTCATAGATACTCTGGCACAGCAGGAAGTCATAGTTAAATCTCCAGTTTGGTGATTAAAGCTAAAACAGTAAACAAATAGTATTTGCATGCATGAATTTCCTATTTGAAGTGTAAGATTCTTAATAACTGTTTTTAAAATGAATCATTTCCCCAAAAAGTGTGTAAAAAGTAACATTCTACTGAAAACTACACTTATTCTCAAATTATTAGAAAAATGAATGAATGTATATGAATAATGATTTAAATTACCTGTCTTCTTCTCGAACCCATACTGGAGTTTTGGGAATTTGTGCTTCAAAATACTTAGATGCTTTGTAACAAAAATTGCTGCAAAAAGACTGAAGAGAACATTTTAAAATTATTTTTTGTTATGAAATATAACCTATATAAAGAAGAGAGACTAAAACACAAACATAACCTATGTAAAGAAGAGAGAATAAAACACAAATAAAAAAACATATCTCTTTATTATATATGTGTAGTTCAAAGAACAAAACAAAACTCCAAGAATCTTCTACGACCTGTGGTCAGAAATAAGGCACATTATCTTTGAAGGCTTTTATGTGTTCCTCCATAACATTATAGCTCTCACATTCCCCAGAGGTAAGCACTATCATACATTTGGTATCAATCATTCCCTTGCTTTTCTTTATCACCTACTCCATATCCTTATACAACATTCAGTTTTGCCCATATTTCAACCTGATCTAAATGAAATAATATTGTTGGGTATTCTTTTCTTTTGTTCAAAATCTTGTTTTTAAAATTCATGTAGTTATAGCTTATTCATCTTCACTGTATATTATATTGCACTGTATTAGGACATTACACTTTATTGTTTATGGACAATTATGTTGTTTTTTATTTTTTGCTATCACTTCAGTGCTACTTATGAAGTTTTTAATGAGAATTTCTTAAAATTTTGGTAAAATATACGTACTATCAAATGTGCCATGTAAGCCGTTTTTAATTGTACAGTTCAATGACATTAAGTTCATTCTATTGCATCATCACAAGCATTCATCTTTGGAAATCTTCGCACCTTACAAAACTGAGCACTACACCCATCAAATAATAACTCCACATTTCCCATTCATTGACAAACACCGTCTGCTTCCTGTCTATGAATTCGATTACATTTCCACCTCATTTAAGTGAAAACAAGTAATATTTGTCCTTCTGGCTTACTGCATTTAGTATAATGTCTTCTAGGTTCACCCATCTTGTAACATGTATCAGACTTTTCCTTCCTTTAAAGACTGAGTATTTCAATGTATGCGTATACCACACTGGCTAATCCAGCTATGAACATTCTTATATATACATACTATACTGGTATATGCAGGCAAGAATTTAAGAGTTTCTTTAGGGTATATATAAAGAAATAGAAAGGCGTGCTCATAAAGAATAGGCCAAGTGGCTGGGGATGTAGCTCAGTATAAGAGCACTTGCCTAACATGCTTAAGGGCCTACATCAATCTCCACCATTACCAAAAGAAAAGTCCTTAATATTGTCATAATAGTCATTTGAATTCATTATATAAAAGTTTCCTATCAGTTTGTCTCTTTATTATATACTCGTAATATGAATGTGGTCAATTATAGATGGGAAATATAACTTCTTACCTCTGGCTTATCTTTTCACTTTTTGGAAACTTCTAATAAAAAGTTTTAAATTTTAATGTAGAAAGGTTTTTGCTTTTTCTTCCATGGTTTATAATTTTCTATCTTTTTTTTTTTTTTTTTTTTGGTTTTTCTCCGGTACCGGGAACTGAACTCACGACCTTGCGCTTGCCAGTATAATTTTCTATCTTAAAAATCTTTCTCTATGTTTATATTCTTCCATATTACTTTCAAAAAAGGTCTGCCTTTTACGTTCACTTCTTTAATCTACCTGCTTTGAATATAGACTGAGATAGGAGTCATTTTCATTTTTTCCATCTGGATAATAATTGTGTCAGGATTACTGAAAAGTCCTTCCTTTCCCCCCTGTCTGTACAATATTTCCACTATCATGTATCAAATGTATCCACAGGGCTGGGGGTTTAGCTCAGTGGCACAGTGCTTGCCTGGCAAGCCCAAAGTTGTGAGTTCAATTCCCGGTGCTGGAAAAAGAAAACAACAACAACAAAAAAAACCAAATCAAATGTATCCACATATGTGTTGAGTCTGTTACTGGATCATGTTCTTTGACTCACCTGCTCAGATTTGTAACAATATGCACTTTAAAATTTTAAACATTCAAGTCTTAATTAAAGCTTATGCAAGGAATTATTTTTAGTACTACTTTAATTCAAGTACTTATAAATAACAACAAATTTTTAACATGATTCTTTTTTAACAGGCAAGTTTTATTTTTGAATACTATTTAGTATCATATTAAAAATAACTGCCACATTAAAAGTAGCCTTTGAACTTACCTTTCTTTCAGTAATATCATAGACTTTATTGGTTTTGGTAGAAATTTTATATTTCTGTTTTGGCACCTAAAGAAAAGAAAGTTGAGCTTACAAAAGAATCTGAGTAATAAACATAAATTTAGATTACAAGATTAAGTCATCTACATGACATATTTTTGGCCAACTCATGTCATTAATGACCTCACATTTCATTTCCTGTTCCTTCTACAAAGTATCATGGTAAATTTTTAAGAAGGCCTACATTTTAAAAAAGTAGTACTTACGATGCCCAGCTTCTTCTGACATAAAGGATAACCACAGAATTTGATAATTGAACGTTCAACCACAACATCGCTGTAGTGAGCAGGTGTGATGAACTTCCCCTATAATGAAATCAGATGGGCATTTACTCTCAGATTAATGGAAAAGATAATTTTTTTAGCTCTCTAGTTCTTATGAATCTCAACTGAAAATAAAGGGATAATAATAGTACCCACTGTGCTGAGTGTGGTGGCTCACGCCTGTGACCCTAGCACTCAGGAGGCTGAGGCAGGAGGATCACTTCGAGTTCAAGGCCAGCCTGGACTACACAGTGAGTTATCCTGAACTACATAGTGAGACCTCTCTCTTTCTCAAAAAAAAGGTGCAGCAAGGTGTGGTGGTGCATGTCTGTAATCCCAGCGCTCAGGAGGCTGAGACAGGAGGATCGTTGCGAGTTCAAGACCAGCCTGGGCTACAAAGTGAGCTCAAGGCCAGCCTGAACTGCACAGCGAGACCCTGTCTCAAAAAGACCAAAAAAAAAAAAAAAAAGGTGCAAAGAAAAGTATTTAAAGACATGTTTGTCATATAGTAAACATTATAAAAATGATAATTATGATTAAAAAACTGTCATAGCAATGTAGGCATCTTTGTATATTACAGCTGAAATAAATGTGGGGCAGCAGGAAGCAGTGGTGTTATAACTACACCAAAACTAAATGATGACAACATCTTTTATTTTGAAACAAGTACTGTTTGAAAAACACATCTACACCACATAAAATAATAAAATGTAATTTTATCTATTTTTAAAGCACAATTTAAAAAAAACACAGCATATAAAAAGGGACATTATGACTCCTGAACAAAATTTTGTGCAAAAATCTTCCTGCTTTTTAAAAAAGTGTAGAGAACAAAAAGTTGGTGATAAATACTAAATATTTTCTTTCTGACACCTTCACAGTTTTGGGTTTTTTTGTTTGTTTGTTTTGTTTTTTGTTTTTGTTTTTCTTCTGGTACCAGGAATTGAACTTATGACCTCGCATTTACCAGGCAGGCACCGTGCCACTGAGCTAAATCCCCAGCCCCGCCCACGTTTAAATAATCTCAATTCTTGTTTCATAACTTTCAAATGTTGACTTTTTTTTTTCCCCCAGTATGGGAATCAAATTCATGACTTTGCACTTGCCAGGCAGGCGCTGTGCCGTTGAGCTAAATCCCCAGCTCCAACTTTGAAATCTTTTCAAATAAAATATCTTTCTGTTTTTAGTGAAAAAGTTTTGTTTCTGAATGAAACATTTCTTGTTTGTCTGTTTTCTTTAATATGTATACAGATTTAGATGCAATTATTGCTATCTACTTAAACACATTTATAGTTCATATTCTTCTTGTTTAGAAAAATCTCTGAAGGCAACGCACTTTCTGGGCCCCCTTCTGTCGCTCACAGACAGAAGCTTTCTTTCTGTCAATAAATTCTCCCTACTCTTAAAAAAAAATCTCTGAACTGTACTAAGAATTATTTTTGCAATAAAATCTCTGAGTTTTAATTTTTTTCTCTTAAGGACTATGAGACTATAAAAGAAATTTTGCCATTCAAAATTTTAATAAAGCTTTTTAAGAAAACAAAAGTTATAATTCTGTTCTGAGTTAAGTCAAAGTATATTGCATGTATTTAAAATATAAAAATTAACCAAATAACATTAAGAAAAATCTGTTACTTAAAATAGCACAAAGCAGAATATTACAAGACTGACAAGGGGCTGGGGATTTAGCTCAGCGGCACAGTGCCTTCCTGGCAAGCGTGAGGTCGTGTCAATTCCTCATACCAGGAAAAATAGGAAAACAAGACTGACAATTGTAATCATTCCTGCAAAGGGAGGGAAATCTAGTAATATAGCACACTAAAAAAACTACAACTAAGAAACAAAATGTATATTTTCTTAATTTTTAATTAAAATTTTATTTTAATTCACAGTTATATATACTAATGCAGCATAATATAATGTTTTGATACATATATACATTGTGGAATGAGCAAATCAGGATATAACACACCTACATTTAAAATTCATTCTCAGTGATTTTAACATACACATTACTTTTAATTATAGTCGTTTTGCTGTATAATTGTTCTTTCTTTTATTAATGGATTTTAAAGTCATTATACAACTAATATAATACAGTAGTTGTTTATTTTAAAATGCATGATTTAAAGCCAGGCAATGGTGGCTCACGCCTGTAATCCCAGCACATGGGAGGCTGAGGCAGGAGGATTGCCATGAGTTTGAGGCTAGCCTGGACTACATAGTGAGTTCAAGTCCAGCCTGAACTACACAGTGAGACCCAGACTCAAAAAAAAAGGACACTTAAAATGCATGATTTATATAGCATGCACCGGCATCTAATGACTGAAAATAAATTTAAGATTTAAATAATACAAAGAAATCTAATTTTGCAGAAATTTAAAAGTATTATACTATAAAACTAATAATTTATCAAGACATACACATTCCAGTAGGAATTCTTCTGTAATGTTCTCTTCCAATAGTTGTTCAACAATATGTAGAGCTTTTCTCTCAAACTCAATCTTCTTTTTCACAGCTGCTTCTAGTTCTGCTTTCCTAAAATTTTAATAAAACATTAATGTACTTACCGTACAAATTTACATCTCCAACATTCCATGTTTTAAAATCCAACAAAAACCTACCTCACTATCTTGTCACTTAAATTTATAGTCTTTAATGCTGTTACTTTTTATTTAATACTTTTCAAAAAAGAAACAAGCTATTTATTGCACTGTATACACTGAAGTTGGCCAGAAGGATTATTTCTAGGTTGTGTACAAGAAGTATTTACAAACTCCTACTGGCAACAAAATGAGGTGATACACCCAGCCACCTTATCTTTGACAAAGGAGCCAAACATGTTCACTGGAAGAAAGACAGCTTCTTTAATAAATGGTGCTGGAAAAACTGGCTTTCCACATGCCAGTGACTAAAACTAGACCCCTGTGTATCACCATGCACTAAACTAAAGTCAAGATGCATCAAAGATCTAAATATTAAAACTGAAACACTAAATCTGCTGGAAGAGAGAATAGGCAGAACTCTTGAAGACATGAGTGTAGGCAAAGATTTCATGAATAAAACCCCAATCCCATAGGAAATAATGCAAAGAACCAATAACTGGGTTCTCATCCTATTAAAAAGCTTTTGTATAGCAAAGCAAATCATTAACAGAGTGAAGAGACAACCCACAGAGTGGGAAACAATTTTAACCAGTCATCCTTCAGGCTAAGGACTTATATCTAGAACATACAAAGAATTGAAAAAAACCAGACCTCCCCACTCCCAGATTCAAAGACCCAATCAACAAATAGGCATCTGAGATGAATATACACTTCTCAGATGAAAACATACAAACAGCGAATAAATACATGAAAAAATGTCAACATCATTGGTTATTCAAGAGATGCAAATTAAAACAACACTGAAATTCCATCTCACTTCAGAAAGAAATCAAGAAATCAACCAATAACAAATTCCTGTGGGGGAAAAGGAACCCTTTTCCACTGTTGGTAGGAGTGTAGACTGGTACAACCACTGTGGAAATGAGTGTGGAGATTCCTTAAAAAACTAGAATTAGAGGTCCTATTCCACCCAGCTATTCCCCTTCTGGGTATCTTCTCAGAGGAACTGAAAACATACCACAGCGATATATGTTCATCTACATTTATAGCAGCACAATTTGCAACAGCTAAATCCTAGAAACAACCCCAACACCCCGAGGAATGGATAAAAAGTTCTGGTCTTTTTATACAGTTGAGTACTACTTTGCCATAAAGGATAAACTTGAGACTTTTATAGGTAAATGAATGCAACTTGAGACCAAACTTATAAGTGAAATAAATCATATTTCACATGTGTAAACATTGCATTGTCTCCCTACTGTGAGAAACTGAAAGAGTAAATAGGATCAAAATGTACAACAGATATTGTGAAATGGGAAGAAATTGTTCAAAAGAAAAGAGGAACCAGGGTAGGGGAAAGGGGAAAAGAAGGAAGGGAAAAGGGAAAAAAAGGATAAAATGTAAACAAAGCTTTGTAAATAGGGAGGGCAAGAGGGGTTGAAGGGAGAAAATGGAATTGGGGGAAAAAAAGAGGAATAAAAATATATCATATGGGCCAGGTATGGGGGTGCACACCTGTGATCCCAGCACTTGGGAGGCTGAGGCAGGAGGATTGTTGGGAGTTTGAGGCCAGCCTAGGGTACAAAGTGAGCTCAATGCCAGCCTGAACTGCATAGCGAGACCCTGTCTCAAAAAGATTTAAAAAAAAAAAAAATATATATACACATATATATATATATATATATCATATAAGGGTACAAGTTCCCTATGATGAATATGATCATTATGTATATCTAAAATGTACCAATCAACTTAATGAAAAAAGACAAATAAAAAGAAAATGAGGTAAAAAACTTTTTCCTGTTTATACTTTATTAATCCCATATATACCTATGAAGAGAAGCTTTTCCTCCGATATGAAGCCAAAAATGAGAACAGATTAGACAGGAAAAATAGATGACTTCTAAGTAGAAATTTGTATTAAGTCTCAAATGTTAACTGACGGTCCAGTTTGATACAACAATCATTATTTATAAAAAGTACATACTTATTTTTGTTGTGAAGTCATTAAATAACATCAATGCATAGTTTAGGAAAATAAAAATCTTCTAGGAGGGTTTGTTCTTGTTATCAGTGGGCTTCTGCTGGTCCCCACACATTATGGAACATAAAAGCATACTATCTTACCAATCAATAGGTTGGGACAGTCGTTCTCAATCTCAATTGCCCATTAGGATCACCTGAGAGATTTTAAAGGATACTATCTATGTACAGTTCCCACTGCAGGCTAATTAAGTCAGAATCTCTGAGGTCGGGGCCTAGTTCCTGAAATATTTTTCTAAAGTGCTCAGCAAATCAATATTACTGTTCAACAGGGTTGAGAATCACTGCTGTGGGACCAAAGACATTAATCTTCTTAGTGACTTACTCATTCCTTTCCTGTGCTTGTTACTACTTATCTACCAGAAATACTTTTGCTGGCCTCCTTCTCCTTGACGTGCGACTCATGTCTGGGTCTAGAATATCATCTCTTCTTTCTGCCTTAGATTACCAAGACATTTAATTCTTGCCCAGAATAGTATGCTTTCCAAAAACAATTTGGAGTTCTGACAGTTATTCCAACAATCTATTTTGCCAAAGAAGGACATTAAAGCAAGAAGAATTTTAAGGATAGGCATGGTAGTTCATGTCTATAATCTTAGCTAGTCAGGAGGTTGAGAGAGGAAGATTCCAAATTCAATCCCCAGTATTACCAACAAGAAGAACTTTACAACTAATACCTATTTGTCCACTGCTTCATAAAAACCATCTTTACATGAAAGAAGTATGAAAAACACAGATTAGTTTCTTTATATTGAACACATTTAGCTTCATGAAAATTTGTCATCTTCTTTTTCTCATTTTGTGCCTGCCAATAAAAGCCTGTTATGCAAAGGATTAGTAGAGAATTGCTGACTCATAGTCATTGGCCAGCTCAACCCTCTGAGCCACACTCCTTTTAACTGACAGACCCCTAGAGCTGCTAGCACCTATCACAAATGATAGGCAGTGTGTGCAATGGGAGCAGATCACAAACTTTTTTGGTCTCAAGACTCCCTAATACTCCTAGAATTATAGACTTTGCTTATGTGGATTAAGTCTGTCAGTTTACCACATTCAGATTAAAACAGCAAATTTTAAAGCACTTAATAACCAACCCAGTGGCTTTACATATTTTTAAATGAAGAACTTTGTAAGAATGTGTAAGGAACAGTGCGAGGCAAACCAGCCGAGACCACCAGGCTGTGTAAAGGCAACATGGCATGGAATTTATTGTGCCTGAGTGCAGGCAGACAGAAGGCAAAAAGGCTATGTGTAGGGAACAAAGAGATGGGGGCTTTTTTTACAGGGCTTGAAAGAAGACAAGGGACATTAGGTGGACAGGTCTTAGTAAACATCAGTGGTCAAAGTTCTCTGGATGTTTCGTGCCCCAGTGGGCAAAGTCCTTGAGGCATCTGGTGTGAATTCTTGGGTACCTTTGATGTCCCGGTGCTTGCAAGAGCCCGTATTTCATCTTATCTCTTTTAAGACATCCTGTGCAAAAAAAAAAAAAAAAAAAAAAAAAAAAAAAGAAAGAAAGAAAAAAAGAAACAAAAGCAGGGCTGGGGATTTAGCTCAGCAGCACAGTACCTGCCTGGCAAGTGTGAGGTCGTGGGTTCAATTTCCAGTACCGGGAAAAAAAAAAAAAGAAAGAAAGAAAGAAAAGACATCCTGCGCCAAGGGCACCAGTGCTAAGCTAACAATGCCTCTGCTGGCAGACAGGTTGGATATTGGGAGAGTCATGTCTGAAATCAAGCCTTACAGAATGGAATTATTTTATATTTTTGCAAATCTCCTCAATATTTGTCTTAATAGTAATCAGCTGGATTGAATATACTACATTTCAGTGGAAAAAAATTTATAGCCTCTCCTCTCAACTATATACCTGTCCTATGGATTGTTTCATTATCCTGAGTGATCAGCTCAAACATGTTTAAGCTGGGGCTCGACCTCAGTGGTAGAGCACTTGTCTAGCATATGTAGGATCCTGCGTTCAATCACCAGCACTATACAAAATAGAAAACAAACCAAAAAAATACTTGATCTGGCCAGGTATGGTGGTGTACCCCTGTAATTCCAGCACTTGGGAGGCTGAGGAAAGAGGACTGCCAAGAGTTCAAGGCCAGCCTGGGCTGCATAGTGAGTTTAAGGCCACCCTGAACTACATAACAAGACCCTGTCTCAAAAAACCCCCCAAAAAACCCAAAACCCAAACATTTGGTTTATCTGTATTCCTCATATTGTACAAAAGGTAATTTTCTTGTGTTTGTGGTCAGATTAGTGTTGAAGGCAATTACAAATCACTGTTGAAATCAGTATTACAGTAATTCCTAAAGCCAAGGCAATTTATCACACTACTCCACAGGGAAGTATTTTCCAAAACAGATTTCAAATTTATCTAGTTTCTTTATTCCTAGATGATCACCACTTCTAATGTCTTAAAACTTTGATTCCATCACTCAGTGTCTTAAAGTTTTTCCATTTGCACTTAGACCATCTAAACTTCTCATTGTTTCTACTAGGTTCAGTACTATGTGAACAGAATTCTGTCTCTAAGCTTTTCCTGTGCTCCTTTCTTCCTTTCCTCAGTATGTCACACAGCATTCTAGGCAATTTCTTTGAAGTTGCCAAGCCTTTTCTTTATCTCAGGGTCTGCACACACTGTCACCTGTGGCTGGAGGTCTTTCATCACTACTTACTGCCTGGTCAACACCTGCATCGCCTTCAGGTCTCAGCTTAATTACTACTTACTTTCTCAGAGAAGTCTTTCCCTGAAAACCCACAGCCAACTCCCATCTAAATTGGGCTTATGTTATTAGTTCCTCCTAACATCCTGGGTTTTTTTTCTATAGCATTTATTATGATTTGTAATTATGGATTTATTTTTGATATTTCTCTGTTCCACCAGACAAGAACTGTGTCAGTGCTGATCAACAAATAGTCTCATGGCCTAATACAAGTCTGGAATATCTTTTAATCAGTAAATAATTGTTACAGCTTTTGTGTCTAAATGTCCCTGCAAAGTCAAAGTTCATGGAGGAGGGTGTTCAGAGGTAGCTGAATCTACAGTGTGATGCTGGGATTAACAGAATGAGTGCTACACCTACCCTAGGGCAGGTAGCCTGCATACAATATAAGACACAAAGAGTCTTAACTGTCTCTCTTGTTGCTTTTGTTGTCTTCCAAAGTCATGAACTGTTGCCCTTTTGCCATGTGCCACCCTGTCTTGGAGCCAGTGGATTATGGATTGAAACCTCTACAAACTATGAGCTAAGTTAAATAAATCTTTCCTTTTTAAACTTTGGGTGTCATGTATTTTGTCTCAGCAATGACAAAAGTAACTAAATAATTTTTTAAAAAAATGAATAAATTAAGACCAAAGCCTATAAAAAATTAGTGAGTCTTCAATAAAACGACATCACACATACATATATATACACATATCTTAATCTCCTTTATAGCCTACTAGAAACCATTTGTGATATGAGATAATATCTTGCCTCTTTAGGCAAAAGATAGTACAGAACAGCTTTCATTTTTTTTAAATGAAAACCTGGACTTGATGTAACAAAGAAGAGAAAAGGTTTCTTGGAATGCTAATGAGAGAAACTTGGACAGTGAATCTGACATACACAGCAATAAAGAGTATCCCTGAAAAGGTGGCAAATGAGTACCTCGTTAATTCAGAGTGTTCCCACAGACACCTTTCTACAGATACACCTTCACCAGCATCCCGTTTTAGTTTTCTTAGTCTCTCACAATTTTCTTCAAAAAAGACACCCATAATTGTTTTAAAAACGGATTCAATTACTAACATGAGTTAAAAGATAACTGGATGCAGTTGCGCAAGTAGTTCTCATACCTTTTAGAAGCGTCTTCGTGTCTCAAGGCACTTGTTTGTTTAGTACCTACAATTGAAAAAAAAAAAAGATCAATCGGGGCATGGTGGCTCAAGCCTGCAATCCCAGCACTCAGGAGGCTGAGGCAGAAAGACTGCACTGAGTCGCAGGCCAGCCTGGGCTACCTAGCGAGTTTCAAGGCCGGCTGACCTACCCAGCAAGACTCTGTCTCAAAAATACTTTTTAAAAAAGGTCAAGCTTACCCAAACGCATTAGGTACAGGATACAGTCCTGCCTAAATAAGCTGTACACTTCTCTTCGGCTATACGTTTTACAATCCTGTGAGTAAATCAAAATGAAACAGGAATACCTGACTTGTTCTAGTAATTTTTATTCCCAATTTTTCCTTGGTTAAAAATGATAGCATTTGGGCTTGAATTTTTATCGCAGTTGCTTAATTAAGCGACCCTAAAAAAATCTGCGTACTTTTCGAGGACAAGTCTCTCCAGTCTCCCAACGTTCGCTCCCTGCGTTGGAGCGGAGTCCGACCGCCGCAGAGACGCGCGCCGAAGCGGCCCCGAAGGGGCACTGCCCGAGGGTACAGGCCGGAGGCACACGGCCGGCCGAGGGTGCCCTGGCCACTTGGGGGTCCCCAGCAGCTCCACTGCCTTTTCCCTAAGAGGCCGTGGCTGGGGTCCACGCTGGGGGAAACCCCGACACTCCGTCAAACAGGCGTCGGGGTCGGGCGGGACAGTCTTTCCCACAAGCGCTCGGCTCCCAGCCCTGGGGCGCCTCCACCGGGACGGCGCGCTCCTCTGCGCGGAACTCGGTCGGGGCCCAGTTCGCTGGGTTCAAACGTGGGAGGAGGTCCCACGTTCGTACCTGTAGCCTTCCGGGAGGCAGGGGCAGCCCGGGGCCTGAGGCCCACCGCAGAACGCACGGCGCTGTCAGCCATGGGAAGCGGCGTCAGAGGCCGGGGCTCCGCCTCCGTGCGCCTCTCGGCAGGGGCGGGGCCGGGCGCGCAGGGGGCGGGGCCGGGCGCGCAGGGGGCGGGGCCGGGCGCGCAGGGGGCGGGGCCGGGCGCGCAGGGGGCGGGGCCGGGCGCGCAGGGGGCGGGGCAGCCCCTTCGCCTAGGCGCTGGAGGCCTCTGAGGGCCGCGAGGTCTGGCGGGTAAGTAGGCGCAGGTAGGCCGGGCAGTCTCAGTTCGCGGTTGTCGGGGAGCCGCGGACGACGCGGCGTGGAGGGGCGGCGTAGAGGGGCCGCGAGGCCCCTTGCGAGGTGGTGCGGCCGGATCTCCTTGGAGCAGGAATCCGGAGAAATGGCTTCCTCTGGACGCCGATCCCTAGCGCGTAGGGGAGTGTATCGCTAGCGAGCGTGAGGACCTGCGCGGCGCCCCTGCCTTCTCCCGGGGAAATGATGGTCGGCGGGCGGTGACCGCCTGAGGACGCCGCTTGCCGGGGCTCGGTGGAAGGAGGGATTTTACTCACTGGATTGATAGCTCCGACCGAGAAGTGCGGTGGAGGATATCTGAATCTTCCTCTCCTTTGGTTGACTTAATTGTGTTGGATTCCAGCGTTTGTCAAGTGGAACATTAAAAATTTTCCGAATGATTAGAATTTTAATTTTAGGCCCGCCTTTTGGAAGAAGTATCCAGAAAAGAAATACTTTTAACTTTTTAAAGCCCTTTAATCTGTATTTGCCTTTCCTCTAGGGAGCACTCTAGATGGTTCTTACTTTCCTTCTGGTACCTTTCAGAACTACTGTATGCCCTTTAAAATATGCAGTAGGAGGAAGGTGCTATAGAGTCAATAACTTTACAATCAATTAAAATTTCACATTTTCTTCATTGTGTTTTTTAATAATTAGAATGAGACACGTTATGTACTGTCACAGTTTAACTGTGTTTGTATAGTATTTCAGAATCAAAACAGGAAAAATAATTAGGAATGGCTGTGGAGGAACTCCAGTCCATAATAAAGAAATGTGTAAGTAGAGTGGATATTTTTGTGTATGTCCATGTCTTTATTATGTTTTGTTAGTAAAATTTAATACCTTTCAAACTATTAAGAGGAGGTTAATTTTACTTTTGTGGTCACTCTAATTATTTTTCTTCAGTCCTTGGTTGTTTTGCTTTTTGAAATAGAATCTCTCTATGCAGTTCAGGTTGGCCCTGAACTCACTGCGTAGCACAGGCTGGCCTTGAACTTGCGAAGATTCTCCTGCCTCAGATAGTGGAGTGCTGGGATTACACACGTGAGGCACCAAAACAGGCTTAAGTAACATTAAAATGAAAAGGGTTATGACTGGTGTGGTCGGGCACACCTGTAGTCCCAGCACTGGAGAGGCTGAGGCAAGAGGGTCACCTCCAGTACATGGCCAGCCTGAACTGTATAACGAGACCCTAAACCAAATGATAATAATTTTAATGCTGATCTTTTTAATGGATTTCAAGGTTATTAGTTAAAGAACTTTTTAGGGTAATCCTAATTTTCATACATGTATTTATGTGTAATTTATCTAGAATTCAAAGCAGGTTTTTAAAAATTAAGAAGTTGCCATAATTGAGTTTTTGTTTGTGTATGTGCTTTTGTGTGTGTGTGTGTGTTTACCAGCAAATCTTAGACGAGGATGACTTTAAAGAAGAAGACTTTAGCCTGTTTCAGTTAGCAGGCCAAAAATGCATAGAAGAAGGACACATAGACCAGTTATTAGAAATTACTCAAAATGAAAAGAATAAGGTAAGTGCAATTTTTATGTTTACTTTTAAGTCTTTACTTGGGAAGAGAATAATCATGTGTTGCTACTATTCATCTTATCATTTACCATCAAACATTTAATCCACTTAAATTTCTATTGTAGAAAACAAAAAAAATTAGTAATATTCATGTACATTCAGGTACATACAGTCTTGTGGAAGAGATAAGCATGCAAACAACTAGCGATCAGAAGAGTAAATAAGTGTTGTATTTAAAGTATAAGTACAAGGCTTTAGAAGAAACAGGATTATTTCTGGTGCAGGAGAGAAATACAAATATCAAACAGACTAGATATTCATTTCTGGTAATCAGCCCGCTCTCTTCTAGCCAGAGGTAAATGGAAAACCACATTTTAAGTCAAACAATATTTTATGTATACAGAATCAGAATGGGAGAGTTGGCCAATATCATCAAGATATAATAGTCTAGAAATCATTCTTTGCAATGGGAAAGGACCTATTGTGGATCATGAACAACTTTTTCCTGGGACACAGCGTTGGCAACAGTGCCAAGTTTTGTCTTTGGACTCTCCTCTATAGCGTTAGAAAGACTCCCCCTCTCCCAAACATGTAGTGGTACTTATTTATACAGACACTTCGTAATGTCATAGTCTAGTCATGCTGTGTTTTGGAGAATTCTTAAGTTGTTTTTCCTTTTCTTTTTTTCTTTTTTTGTAATGCTGGTGATGGAATGCAGGGCAGCAAGCACTTTACCACTGAGCTTGACACCCATAACAGAAGATTTCTAAGACTTTTTAATCACGCATTGTTGTAGATTTTCTTGGTTCAAATGGCGTATCCCTTTTTAAATTTTAGAGAACATTCTATTTTTGATATGTTTATTATACCTTGATAGCTTAAAATACAGTGAATTTCATGTTGTTTAATTCTCCATTTTTCCCAGTTGCAATTTCAGAAGACAATTTTTAACAGTACCTAGCTTTTAGCTACTGCTACTACAATTAATAGTAAGTTTACTATGTAATACATGCTCTTTTAAGTGCACATCTGTTAACTTGTTTAGCTTCTCCAAAATCTGTAAGATAGGTAACATTTTGTAATGTCTGTAATTCCAGCTTCTTGAGTCTGCAGCAAGAGGAGCACTTTTTTTTTTTTTTTGTCTTTTTGAGACAGGGGTCTCACCATGCAGTTCAGGCTGGCCTTGAGCTCACTTTGTAGCCCAGGCTGGTCTTGAACTCACAGTGATCCCTGCCTCAGCCTCCCAAGTGCTGGGATTTAAGCGTGCACCACCACACCCGGTGAAGAGATCACTTTTGTCCATGATCAGCCTGCGCAACATAGTGAGATCCCTATCTCAAAAATTTTTTTGTTTTCCTCTTGTAAATGAGAAATCATCACTGGAAGATTAAATGACTTTCCCCAAATATACTCAACTTTTATCTAGAGTTCTGACCTCTGGGGCTTGGATCTCTTAACCATACTGGGTAGCATCCAGTAGCACTTAAAAGGAAGCTTTAGGGTAGAATAAAAGAGACTTGAGTGATGGTAAGGGTGAGACAGGTTGAGGCATCAAGGATGGCTGGGTTTCCAGCCTCTGGAAGGATAATACAGTATATGATGTCCTGAACACAATAAGGCCAGACAAGTAAAGAAGAAAATGAGCTGACTTACAAATTTTGTGGTTAAGATGTAGCACACAATTAGAAAGTAGGGTTTTGAACTCAGAGATAGAGGAGATTTAGATAGAGATTTATTTCTAGATTAGGTAATTGAAGCATTGGGGACTTAAGAAGAGTTTACCTGAGTCCGCAAAAAAGGGGGAGGAGAGGCAGATAATCCCCCGCTTGAGGAATTAAGGAGCAGCTGGGGAAGAAGAGGCGAACAAAGAGGTGAGGGTCAGTACTGCACCAATGAGAGGGAGATGAGAAGTGTAACCAGTTGTTCCGCAGGCGTTGTATGCCTCAGTGCTTTATATTTAGCATGTTCTAAATACCTGATGGGATTTAAGCATAGTGAAGCTTAGGCTTAATAGCTTGAAAATCACCTTTGTAATGTGTCATATTTTAGATAGGATCATTCTCTGTTATGGAGAACTGTCCTGCGGGTTGCAGGGTCCTCAGCAAAAACCTTGGCCTCTGCCTGTTAGATACCAGTGATCAGCTCCTTGCAACCCCAGTAATGACAATAAATCTTGTCTCCAGACCTTGCCAGATGTCCCCTGGAAAGTAGGGAGCAAAACTGCTCTCAGAGGACCACCAGGGCAATACTGGTAAAAGCATGAGCATAGGAGCTAGGCACACTTAAGTCCTGACTCTGCCACATTTTAGTTCTTGAACATTGAACATTAAGGATCTGTAAATTGGGGATAACAGCCGTATTCCATGTTGTAGTTAGTATTAAAGAGTAACATAAGCTCCCTTAACAGAAGTTAGTATTTGCCTTCCTCGTAGCTATTCATCACTCTCCCTTCCCATTAACTAAAGCTGTGGAACATTTATGTAGTGACTGGATATCTTGCAGCTGATAATTATATTTATAAAATATTTTCACAAAAAATTTTAACTCCAAGGCCAAGTGTGGTTGCACATGCCTATAATCCTAGCAGTGGGGAAGCTGAGACAGGAGGAGTGCTTTGAGTTTGAGGCCAGCTTGGGTTACATAGCAAGTTCAGGGACAGCCTGAACTGCCTAGTGAGACCCTGCTCAAAAAACAAAACAAAAAAATTTTTGACTGCAGTAATACGAAATCTCAAATCTGTCATGCCTCTTATAGTTATTCAGAGGATTTATAGTGAAGAGGGCTGGGGATATAGCTCAGTGGCATAAGTGCCTGCCTAGCAAGCACAAGGTCCTGAGTTCAATTCCCAGTACCAAAAAAAAGAATCTTCTCGTTTATAGTAAAGAAGTAGGCCTGTGTAAAAGGAAAGAAGTGTGTAGTTAGAAAAGTACCATATTTCCCTGAAAATTAACTACATTAATAAATTAAATGTTAATTCAATATATTCGTTTTTGCTCCAAAAGATACAGTAGGGCTTATTTTTAAAAGATGGCTTATTTTTTTCATGTACAGCAGTCCACATTTATTCATTTATTCATGCATAAAAAAATCTATATTATTCAGATAGTCATATCTTCTTTTGGAGCATTGTCATAACTCTCCAAACTCTGAATTCTGGCCTGAATTTCTTGCACCTCCATTTCCTGTAGAACCAGTGTCTCTAGTGTCTTGTGTCCAGCAGTAGAATGCTCCTTAAATGAGTCTTTCTTCTCCATGTGGCCTGCTCATAGTACCTCATTACAGCACGATATATTGAATTGTGAAGATTCATATTAGACACAGCCACATCCATTCATTATCGAGTCTGCATATTTTTGTGCTTTGTGTCTGTACTCTAGTTGGTTGTTCGGCAATAAGTCTAGTTCATCTTCTTACCTCTCAACCAAAGGTGCTTGCTTGGGTATTTACAAATACCCAATTATAATATGTATTATCATTTATTTTTAAGTACTAATGTCAATATTATTTATATTTTATATTATTTTATAATTTAATATATTCATCATGTGTAGCACCGGACATACTAAATGTGTCTGTCTGGCTGACAATCTTAACTGGGGCTTATTTTGGGAGTAGGGCTTATATTATGAACACACTGAAAAATTCTGCTAAGGGTTATTTTCAAGTTACGTCTTATTTTCAGGGAAATATGGTAGAATCTGAAAGGAACTAATTAAGCTTTTAAAAGTGAATACAGGCTTATTAAATAAGTAATTATGAAAAATAATTTGAAAAAATTACTGATTTATAATATAAATTCCTTAGTAAAGTTCTAAATATTAGTCAAAACACACAAAATCCGTGAAAAAGAGCATCAGACCTTTGAGGTAAGAATAATTTGTGTACTTAAAATAGTAGACATAATTTAGTCTGTATTTATTGGACAGCTCTTTTTTTGTATTCCTTTGTAACAATACCTACTTTTTTACTTACACTGGTAATAAGTTACAATAGTGAAAACAAATCCCTGCTCATATAAATGGGCAGAATTTCATACAATATAGTTTTAGTGAATGAAAAGAGATACATATATAATGAATAAGTTATATAGAATGTAAAAAAGTAATAAATACTCTAGAGAAAAATAAAGCCTGAGGAAGGAGAAAGACTGTCCATGGTGAAAATGCACAGAGACTTGAAGCAAGTAGGAGTATAAACTATGGGACTCTCTGAAAGAAGAATGCCAGGCCGAAGAGCTAACTAGCATTTAAAAAATTCAAAGTGATCAACTGAACTATCTCATGAGGTAAAAAAAATCATGCTTGTTTTTCTCTTTATTAACCATAATTTAAAAAAAAAATCTGAACAGTTACATATCTAGAGAACAAAATCGGTTTTAGGCCTAACAGCAGTAAAAGAAGGACTAAAATAAAACAAAAAGTATCCCTTACTTGACTATATAAAATATAAAGATGACCTAGTTGGGCACAGAAATACACAACTGTACTTTCAGCTACCTGGGGACCTGAGGCAGGAAAATCACTTGAACCCAAGAGTTTGAGACCAGCCTACTCAATATAGTAAGACCCTGTCTCAAAATAAAATCTCAAAAACACCAATAATTATATGTCATTAACTCCGTTAATGTTAATATATAGAGAACATGAATATTAATAAGACAAACACTAAAACAAATGAGCAAACTGTGAGCAGACAGTATTTCTCTTTTGTGTGAATTATTTGTTCACATACCCTAATACAGTTCTCCAGGAGTTGTTAAGCCTTTTACCTTTACACTACTGTTTTAGAAGTTTGAATGTTTTTTCTGCAGAGCTATGCCTCAGATTTTTCTGTTTCTCCAAGAAGCCTTACCTTAACTCCTGGAAATCCTGTCCTGCCTTTCCTAGATGCAGGTGACTCTTCTTCCTCATACTGCACCTTTGTTCCAAGACTAAGATCAGGAGGAGGTATTGTAGGTGCCATGTGGTCATCTAAGATCTTTTTTTTTGAAATAATCATCTTAGAATGTAGAATCTGAGAATGGAGATCTTACTTGATGTGTTCTTAACTTTATTTTTAGCACCTAGAATATTATATAGCAAACAGAGCAAATTGTATGTAGGAGAGAAAACTAATGAAGTCACATCTCCTCCTTTTATATGTTATAATGATTATATTAGAGATTCCCCGAGGAACTTGAAAGGTTCACAAGCATTGCTGTCTGTATGAATCAGAAAAACAGAATTATGTTAAGTGCTTACTTGTCTTAAGCAAATTAACTGTCTTGTAAGAAATAGAGAAACTGGACCAGGAATATAGCTCAGTGGTACACGTGCCTGCCTGACAAGCACAAGGTCCTTAGTTTGATTCCCGGTACCAAAAAAAAGAAGAATAAATAGAGAAATTAGTTGAATCCTGAGAAAGACTAAGTTACCTGATGAAAGGAAAGATCCTTTTGCCTTTCTTCAATTTTAAAATGTATTAAATGTATTAAACAGTGTTAAAATATTGATATCTGTTAGGAGCCAACCCTAGAAAGTCAATGGTGAAATATTGTATGTGTCATTTGCTTCCTTTTTCCTGTTTCACAGAAAATTCTATGTTCTTCTGACTTAGAGAAACATACTGAGAGTCCTGTAGGTGTCAGTGTTTTACTCTAAAATGGTTTTATAGGTCATCATCAAGACTATGGGCTGGAATCTTATTGGTCCTGTTGTTCGATGCCTTTTATGGAATGATAAAGAAAATGATAAAAGAAAAAATTATTTTCTAATGCTTGATTTACTGGTAAAGGTAAGTTAATAAAACTAGGTTAACTTTGTCATAACATTCAGTGGTATTACAATTCCTTTTAATGTTTAATTCTTATACTTTGGTAAGAAAATTTTTAGTTCATGAAAATATATGCAGAAGAATACTCTGGAGAAGAGCTCAGTCTTACTTAATTGAATGGGCAATACCATTGTAATGTTCCACAAATTTTCTTTCTTTCTTTTCTTTTTTGAGCCAGTGTATTGCTGTATAATTCAGGCTGGCCTTGAACTCACTTTGTAGCCCACACTGGCCTCAAACTCACAGCAATCCTTCTGCCTCAGTCTCCCACGTGCTGGGATTATAGTCATGTGCCACCACATCTAGCCTTCTCCAGTTTTATATATATAAGAATTACCTAATTTTATGTTTGAACTGCTGATTCAGTTTCCAGGGAGAGATGAAGGAAACTGTGTTTTAACAAGTAGCTTTGTTGTATAGTCATAGAATTCAGCGTTTATACAGATAGTTCAGTGCCACACTGAGGTTTTTGCAACACTGAACTAAAGTGAAATGTCAGTGCTCTTTCCTCTGGAAGTTCTAAACCTAGAATGTGAGTGATCACAGTGGAAGTATGAAGAGGAAGTTGAACACAGATCAACTGTTACTTAAAACCTTAGAAAGAGACCATTGGTAAAAAGCATAGTAGAGTTTTGTAGATATATAATGGCTGTGTGTAAATATATAATGGCTTGGATAAATTCTGAGAAAAAACATTGTAGGAAACTGTTTAGAGATCAGTGCAAATGCGCGCGCACGTGCGTACACACACATACACACACCCACACACAACTGAACTTCTAGATACGACTTTGAAAGCTTTTAACAAAGAAGGCAAATAAAGCTAGCCATGGTCCTGCCTCAAAGGTCCTGCCTCTTAATACTATTATAATGCACATTTGTAATCTCAACACTCAGGAGGCTGAGGCAGCCTAAACTACATAGTGAAACCCAGACTCAAAACAAACAAATAAACAAACAAAAAATAAATTTAAGAAGAAGGTAGGGGCCAGGGATTTAGCTCAGTGACAGAGAGCCTGCCTGGCAAGCATGAGGTCCTGAGTTCAATTCCTGGTACACCCGACCCCAAAATAAAGAAGGGGGCAAATAAGCTGGGGAGGTAGCTCAGTGGTAGAAGTGCTTGCCTAGCATGTGTGAGGCCGTGAGTTTAAGCTTCAGCACTCCAAAACCAAAGCAAAACAAAAAACAAAGCAGATGAAGTAATAAAATATGGCCAGTCAGAAAAATGTAAAGTTCACAACATACATAGGAGGCTCTGGGCTAGTCTAAATACCCTGGCAATATGGGATAGGAAGGCCCACCTGCTTGGTTACTTTTTTCTCGCTGCTGGGACAAAATACCTGACGCCCAAAATGAAGGAAGGAAAGGTTTATTTCGCTTACAGTTCGTGGAAGTTTCAGTCCGTACTTGGCAGATTATAAGGCAGAGTGACACATGGCAAAGAGCTACAGCTCAGGGCGGCAGAACACAGCTAAGCTGCAAGCATACACCAGGGCGGAATGGGGGAGGAATGTCCTCAAGCACTCTTTTCCTCTCCCTTACATATGCAAACTATCCACCCCAGGGCGGGTGTAGCTCTCACACCCACAATCATTCAACTCTAATAGCCTGCCCCATGGTCGCATGAGGCTTTGGAGGGGACACACAGACATAAACCATAACATCTGGGTATCTAACTTAGCCTGCAGAGTAGGTGAAACTCAAAGGGAATTTAAGCTCTGGTGATCAAGTCTTGTCTTCCTGTACTCTGACTTTTCTTTTAAAAAATTATATGAACCATTTTACTGTTAAACAAAAGAACTATATTTTCTCAGCATGTTTTCTTAAAAATAGTAATCACATGGCCTTAAATAAAACTTGTATTAAACAGGTTCAATTGTGAATATTTTTATAGTTATGTAATCCAAAGGAATTATTGTTGGGTTTGCTTGAACTGATTGAAGAGCCCTCTGGAAAACAAATATCCCAAACTATTCTTCTTGTACTTCAGCCATTACAAACAGGTAATGAACATTTTTATATCAAAGTTTTACTCGTTTGTCTTAATGTTTTCCGTAACATGTCAACAGAACACCAAAGTAAAGTTTATGACTAATTAGTGAGTACTGTGTATATATTAGTAATAACAGTGCCAGTTTGAATTCTGTGTAGTGTACCTGGCAGAGTGGTTACCCAGTGAATATTTTGCTGAATGTTGTACTCTTTTTCATGTGCTATGTTGCAACTTACAGCTTTTTTGGTTAACCCTCCTATCTGCAGTTTATATTTAAAATTTTCCTTCTAAGCATATTTAAAAGGTTACTTCTGTAGTGTGTGTAATATTCAGTCTGATAGCCTCCTATATGCTGATTAAGAAGAGTATCAAGCAGGGTACTGCCCAGCCTCTACATTGGGAGATGGGATTGAGAGTAGTGAAAGTACATATGATGAATGAAGTTAGGAGATACATGGGATTAAGGCACAGTGGCAGAGTATAGTAATATTGGTAAGTAATAAGTCTTGGCAATAAAGATGGACAATATTTATCCATGGGTAGAGGCTAATTTTCATTTAAGGAAATATGCATATCTCAGACTGATAGAGGGACTCAGAATTAGAAATTACAATGAATTCATTTTAAATATGAATGCTTACAAGCTTTGTGCCACTTAAAATATTCAAAAGCTTATGGAGAATAAAACCTAATAATACTGCCACCCATTTGTACAATGCCTTATAGTTTACCACTTACATTTTATGCTTATAGCCAAAAAATATGAAAGGAATGTGTTTGTGCTTTAAGTATATAACCAGTTATAAATACATATAAACAAGGTTTCATAGCTTCTGTTGTAAGATGGCTCATTCATTTCTGCACCACCAAGAAGGAAAAACACTCTCAAGCTGTGTCATCCCCTTCAGAGTTGTTAAAATGTGAGGGAAAAATGTGTCATATAATTCTACATGCTGAATTTTTTGTCCTACATTTAGCAAATTTGATGAAGCTCCCTCAAGTAATAATTTGGTCTGTGTTTTAGTGATTCAGAAACTTCCTAATAACAAGGCATATTCAGTTGGATTAGCATTGTCTACCCTTTGGAGTCAACTGGCGCTTCTTCCTGTTCCTTACTCAAAAGAACAAATACAAATGGATGACTATGGCCTTTGTCAATGTTGCGAGGCCTTAATAGAGTTCACTAAACCTTTTGTGGAAGAAGCTATTGATAATAAAGAAAACAAGGAAAATGAAAACAAAAAATTAAAGGATGAGTTACTGAAATTGTAAGTATATTTTAAAGAACACCTCACAATGTAGTTAAGTAATTGGTAGTTCAGTTATTTTGTTTGTTATCTGTTTGCCATGCAAATTAGTTCAAACTTTGAATTTTAGAAGACTGTGTTGCAAGCTGATATAGAACAGGCTTTTAATGAGGAATTGACAGTTTTAAAAATTAGAAAAGCAAACCCACTCATTTAATTTACTTTATGTAAGTTACCTACAAATTCTTTTATATATTGCATTTCCCCACCATAGGAAGTGACTATTGGAAGTGGGAGAAATAGAAACATGTAATTCAAAGAACCTATTCTGTGGCAAAATTGTGTTTTTATTGTTCTTTTGAAAACAGCGGAAGGGTCACCACACAATTGAACATCCAGCACAAAAACAGCAGAGAACTCATTCAGTAGCGTTCGCTCCAGAGGTACCATGGACTAAACATACTAAACATACACTGTTCACTCTGTCAAGCACTTGACAGTGGATTGTCCAAATTAAGATGTGCTTTAAGTATAAAATACCCTCTAGACTTGATTTTTAGAAAACGGTAAAATACATCATGTTGAAATAGTTTAGCTATATTGTGTTAAAATAAATTATGAAAAATAATTTTTCCTGTTTACTTTTTTCATATAATTACTAAGAAATCTTAAATATGGAGCTTGCATTATATATCTGTTGGGCAATGCTGGACTAGATTATTGAGTTACCTGGACTAGTAACTTTTAATTTTGGAGACTAAAGCTATTGTTAACTTTCAATATTGTCAGGTTAGGACATTTCCATCTTTAGTTTTATAGGCATTGAATTACTGGTGCATATCTCAGTCCATTTGTGCTGTTGTAATAGAATACCTGAGGCTGGGTAATTTATAATGAATGGAAATGTATTGGCTGACAGTTGTAGAGAATGAGAAATCTAAGATGAATGCTACCATGTGGTGAAGGCCTTTCTGTGTCATCACATGGCAGAATGTCGAATGGTAGACACACACAAGGAGAGGCAAATTCATTCTTTTATAACAGCATTAATTCCTCCCGTGAAGGTGGAGCCCACCTGGCCTAGTCACCTGTCAAAGATCCTGCCTATTACTATTACAGTGGCAACTTAATTTCAACATGAGTTTTGGAGGGGATAAACATTCAAACCAGTAGTACTGATTTTGTTTTTTAATGTAATATTATGTATGCAGACTACGGATTTTATACTTGGGAAGTGTTGGATTCACAGTTACCTATTTCTTACGTCTTAGTTGTTTTAAAAGCTTGAAATGCCCTTTGCTGACAGCACAATTCCTTGAACAATCTGAAGCAGGAAATGATCCCTTACGGTATTTTGCATCTGAAATAATAGTAAGTACAGCTAAATTTAATCTTCTACAAATTCATTATAACCTTAAATGTTACCCTGTTATTTCTCAAATACTCATGTATTTTGTGTGGGCATGTAAATTGATAACTTATTAGTAAAACAATATGTGGTTTTTGTTCAACAGAGATAAACAAAAAGATGGAAAATAAGATAGCAAAAATTTCATTATTTAAAGACAAATACTATTAATACCTTCCAGATTTCATACCGTAAGGTAAAAAATAAGTAAACCTTGTAAGTTGGGGACCATCTATATATCTAATACCCCAAAGGAACAGGTTTTTAAGAAGTGCTTTAATAAAAGAAAATGAGATCACCAGAATAGGTAGATCAGTATAAGAAAAGAGCTTTGGAATGAACTCTAGAAACTGTCAGTACTAAATAGGATCCCCCCCAAAGAGACCAAGGAAAAGAGTCAAAGAAGTGGTAAAAATAGCACAGAAATTAGAGTAGTAAAGTTTCAGGAAGAAAGAAATAATCAGTATTGTTAAATGTAGCAAAAAAAGCCCATGAAGTAAAAGTTATAAGCACCCACTAAATTTAGGAAGATGGCATTGATAATCTTAGCAAGACTGGTTTGAGTGCAGTGATAGAGATGAGTGAATGAAAGAATGACACAGAAAAAGGAGATGAATGGTGTACACACACACGCGCGCGCTGCTACCGGCAGTGGGGATTGAACGTAGAGCCTTACACGTGCTAGGCAAGCTCTGTACAGCTGAGCTATATCCCAAGTCTTTTATTGGAGATAGGGTCCCACTAAGTTGTCCAGGCCTCATAACTTGTGATCTTGCTGCCTCACCCTCCTGAGTAGCTAGGATTACAGACTGTGCTACTCTTCCTGGTTTGTATATACTATTCTTTAAAAGAGTTTGGATGAAATCCAAGTTTTTGGGAGACTAAGATAGGAAGATTGTGATCTTGAGGCCAGCCAGAACTGTCTAGCAAGTTCAAGCCCAGTCTGGACTACATAGTGAGACCTCATCTCAAAAAGCAAAAGCAAAATAAAATGAAAATTTGGATGAGTGAAAAGGAGACTGGCTATAGCCAGAAAACATGGGCCAACAGGAGCAGCATAATGTGAGAGGTGAGGAAACTTGAGCATATTTATAGGCTGATGTATAAACTATTAGAGGAGAAAAGTGAAGTATTTATGGGATAACTGACACATAGTAATGTAGCCCAAGAGCAGACAGTTGGGCATAGGATCAAGGAATAAGAGGAGAAGCCCAGCGCATTGGTCCACCCTATAATCCCAGCACTGAAGAAGGCTGGGACAGGAGGACTGCAAGTTCAAGTCCCACCTAGACAATTTAGCAAGACCCTATCTCAGAATTTGAAAAGGCTGGAGATGTATCTCAGTGGTAGAGCATCCTAGGTTCAAACCCAGTAGCACATATAGAGAATGAAAAGATAGGAGTGAGGATTAAGTAAGTCTTCAGGAAACTGGGAAAACTTTAGAGTACTGAGGGGAAAGGAAGGAGATGGTAGAAGACTGTGTGTTAGTAGTATTAGCATTTGACTGTGGCTAGAGACCATAGCTGTAGCAATCTCAGATATTCACAGCAGCACTGTAAAACCTAGTTAGGTACAATGAGTTTTTAAGAGGTGTCCTTTCCTCTGGGGAAACACAAACAAAAACAAAACACATTGAAACAAATCACATTGACTGAACAAATGGAGCTTCATGATTAAGGGGACATTTAGAATCTGAGTACAATATACTTTTTGTCTTGAAGTTGTAACAAGGATGTATGGCTTTGAAAATCAGTGTAACAGTGTCTATTTAGCAGTGGGTTACTGAATAGCAGTCTGTTATCTCTGAAGATGGCTTTCCATGGTTCCTTTTTGTGTTCTGAAATAACTGACAGGACCATCTGAGATCAGCAGATTTCTACTCCCTAAAATTGGGAAAGTATTATTTGGCTTTATAATTCTCTGCAGTGTCAGGCCTCGTACCTACAACTGAAGTGTTAACTGAGTAAAAAAGTGAATATGTAGAAGGTCAGTGTTCATTCTGCTTTACCTATTGCTGTATTCATTTCCTTTTAACTTTTGTAGGGTAGTTTGTTAGGACCTTAAAACTTTCTGGAGCTACTCAATAAATATTTGATATAAGTATTCTGTCGTTTTCTGGATAAGGGAACTGAGGCTTAGAGAGATTAAGTAACTCATCCAGCTAGAAAGTAGTAGAGCCAAAACTCAAAAGTCATTTCCAGTGAGCCAGGTATAGTGGCACGTACTGGTAATCCTAGCTGCCTAACAGATTGAAGCAGGAGAATCACAGGTTCAGGGCCAGCCTTGACAACACAGTGAGACTCTGAGTCCCCCTCTTCCCCAAATTGTTTTAATTCCAGTAGATTCTGAAAATCAGGGGCTTCCTAATGTACTAGAATTAGAAATAGTATAAGAGCCCAGGACTTACTCAGTGTTTCCTGAAATAAAGTTTTAATGCGATGGTCCTGTCCATTCATAATGCTAAGGATCCTTCTTTCTTTTTTTTTTTTTTTTTTGTCTTTTTGAGACAAGGTCTTGCTATGCAGTTCAGGCAGGCCTTGAGCTCACTTTGGATTCCAGGCTGGCCTCGAACTTGCAACAAGGGGATCCTTATTTATCTAATGACTTGAGAACCTACATGACATGGGGGTTTTGGCTTGCCAGGGTGGCAATGTATGAAAAAATGTCTTGGGTGCATATGAGATATGTAATATAGTTAATATGTATGGGTAGCAAGATTATTTTTTACCTGTTACTGTAACTTTTTAAAGAAAGGGCGGGCAGCCTACAGGCTGAGGTTGGACACTGTTTCCTCAGGCCCTCAGGCCGGGTGCTGCTGAGCAGCGTTCCTTCAGCCCATTTTGTAGTGAGGCAGGAGTGGTTGGTCATTGGGGCACTGTTCCTAGACTAGACTATCTGAAAAGCTGGTTTACTCCCATTTCATGATATAGCTCATATTTTTCCATTACTCTAAAATATCCCTGAAGCACTTTTTAAAAAATTTGTAAAATATATGTAACATGAAGTTAACCAAACCATTTTAGAACATACAGTTCAGTAGCATTAAATATATTCACAGCTATGCAATTATCATCCATCTCATGAACATTTTAATCTTCCACCTGAAACTGTTCCTGTTAAACACCCGCTTCTCTTTCTCTCTCCATCACTTGGCAGCCACCACTCTTTCTGTTCTCTATGTCTGAAGATTTATTTTTTTTAAATGTGACATGATTTTCTTCTGTTCAATTCAAAGCCCTTCACTCAGAAATAGGTCATTTGACTGTCAATAAAGCTCATTTGTGTGTGTGCCTTAATTATGATTCTGAATTAATTTAGAAACCATATAAATGCTCATATAAAATATGATTTTGAATTGGCTTTTGTATTTGTTTTCTGCTGCTGTATAACAAATTCCTGCAAACTGAGCAGTTTAAAACAATAGGCTTTTGTTCTCACAGTTTCTGTGGCACAGAAGTCCAGCCACAGCTTGACTCCTCTGCTCAAGGGTCTTAACAGGCATTCTTATCCAAACCTTAACTGGGAAAAGATCCTCTTCCAAGTTCCTCAGGCTTTTGGCGTAATTTATCTCCTGAAGTTGTAGCACTGAAGTCCCTGTTTTGCCGGCCACCCACCAGGGACCACTTTCAGCTTCTGGAGGCTACCTACAATCCCTGACCACACAGTCCTCTCCATAGTTCCTCTTATATGTGACTTAGTTCTTTAAAGCCAGCAAAAGAATTTCTGGCTTTTAAGGAAAACCAAGACCTTCTATGAAAACTTCCTGCAAAATCAACTCGTTAGGGACCTTAATTACATCGGCACAATCCCCTTCACTTCTGACAATATACATAATCTAATTATGGAAGTGATATCCATCTTATATTGGTTAAAAGCCAGTTTCACAGATCCCACCCACATTCCAGAGGAGGGGATTATGAGGATGTGAATATGGGGTGAGGAGGGCCCCTTATAGTCTGTCTGCTGTAACTTTTTAATTTATTTCACAGGGTTTTTTATCAGCAATTGGACACCCTTTTCCAAAAATTATTTTTAATCATGGAAGGAAAAAGAGGATATGGAATTACCTTGAATTTGAGGAAGAAGAAGACAAACAATTAGCAGACTCTATGGCCTCTCTGGCATATCTAGTGTTTGTTCAGGGCATCAAAATTGATCAGCTACCAATGGTTTTGAGGTAAGAGTGTTCGGTTTATTCATGGATTCTAAAAGAAGTATCACACTTTCATTTACCTGTTGTCCATTATGTACATATTAACATATTAATACATTTAAAATAAAGTATAAACAAAGGCTGTTTTTATTCTAAATAGTAGTCAAGTAATGAAAAGGGGTGACTTTTACAGTACATGTTACAGGAGATGGAAGTGTCCAGGCATGGTGGTACACTCCTATAATCCCAGCATGCTGGAAGCTGAAGCAGGAAGATCTCAAGTTCAAGCCTAGCTTGAGCAACTTAGTGAGACCCTGTCAAAATAAAATATAAAAGAAGGGCTGGGGATGTAGTTCAGTGTGAAGATCCTGGTTTATTTATGAATACACTTATTTTTAAGTAAATATGTAATAAAGGTTACTATTTGCAGGTTGCTATGTAAGTAATTGCTTTAATGCAGTTAATCTAGTCTTTATAAAACCCTATGAATAGAGCACAAGTTCAGATAAAAATAATAGGAGCTAGGACTAATATGTAGAACACATAAAGAACTCAAAAAAATTAGATTGCTCCACAAAACAAAAGGCCCAGTCGAAAAAATGGGCAATTAAAATGCATGTACATTTCTCAAAAAGAGTACAAGTGGCCAATAAAAACATGAAAAACTGTTCAGCATCTTCGGCTGTGAGAGAATGCAAATCAAAACAACACTGAGATTCCATGTTACTCCAATAAAAATGGTTATCATCGAGATCTCAAAAAAAAAAGACAAATACTGTTGAGGATGTGGGAGAAAGGAACCCATCTATACTATTAGTGGGAATGTAAACTAGTACAGCCACTAAGAGAATCAGGATGAGATTCCTCAAAAAACTAAAAATAGAAATTCTATTTGACATAGCTACACCTCTCCTGGAAATCTTCCTGAAAGAGTTACAGTCATCATGCTACAGTGATCCACACGTACCAGTGTTTATAGTAGTGCTATTCACAGTAGCTAAATTATGGAAACTACCTATACTCGCATCAGCAGATGAGTCATTTCTAGGAAAATGGATAGGTATTGAAGCTATTAAGTGAAATAAATAAGACACAGAAGGTTCAATATCACGTGGTTTTTCTTACGATAAACCCAAAATAAAAATAAAGAGCAAAATTAAAGAATAAGAAACAGGTAAATGGTAAACATTTATGATTTGGGAAAGGAGAGTAGGGAGTAAAAAAGAATCAAAAATGATCAAGATCATATGTGTGTATATATGTACACACACACATATACATAGAGTCTGCCGGAGTAAAACTTGTGTAAATACTTTAGTACTAAATTTATTGAGACACCATGAAATTAATGCAACTTATCTTTGGCCTCTACATTTACATGAGGTGCTCAAAGTGGTGGCCATTAGCTTCCAGATATTTATTAGTACAGTGAATGGCTAAAGTGTGTATACATTTTTTTGTGTTCCCCCCTCTATATATGTATATGAATATAATTACTATGTGTCACAAACATATACTAATAAAGTAAAAAATACATAAATAGCAGGAGCCAGTATGATAGCATACTCTTGTCATCTCAGCCATCAGGAGACTGAGACAGGAGGATCACAAGTTCAAGGCCAGCATGAGCAACTTAGTGATGCCCTGTCTTGAAAATAAAATGGGCTGGGGATATATCTCAGTCAGTGACAAAGTACCTTTGGGTTTAATCCCCAGCGCCTCAAATGAATGAATGAATGAATGAATGAATGAATGAAAATAACAGGCTTAGACAAATCTGAGATGCTGCCCACATTTGTATAAGTAATTATATTGGTAGAATCCAAACATAGTTTTATCCAACCTCAGAGCCTATACTCCTTTTTTTTAATGTTAGCATATTTGCAGTATGTCATGATTACATTTACCATGGGGAGTTGTATGTGCATGTAACGCTTAAGGCTTTTTTTTGTCCCCTGCCCATCCCATCCTTCAGTCTCCTTCCAGCTCTTGGTCTCCTTTCCATATGCAAAAGCTCTATTTCAGTTCTTTTCTTTTAATTCTGTTTTTTTCATTCCCTTTCCTTCCCCCGTCTCCTGTCTTCTTCCATCTCTTATTCCCCTTCTCATTTGAAAAAGATCTCCCTACTTCCTATCATCTATCTTTTATTTTGCTCTTTATTAATATTTTGAATTTCTCATATAAAAGAAACCGTGTGCTCCTTAAGCTTGTGTGTCTGATTTATTTCACTTAGTATTATGGTCTTAAGGTGCATACATTTTCCTACAAATGCCTGTAGTTTATCCTTCTTTGTAGCAGAGCAATATTGTACTCCATTGTGTATGAATAATACTTTTATTATTCATTCATCTGTTGGTGGCCCAGACCCTAGACTCTTAGGAGCATAACACATTTTTTTGTCATATAGGCCTATAAACATAAACGTGTCAAACTCATGTTTAATCTTTAGATTATTTCTATTGATGAATTATTAATTTTATGAGTTGTATTATACTAAACAATGAGTGCTTATTGGGAAAAAAATCACAAAAATAAAGTATTGAGTTTTTAATATTTATTGAGTGTTTATAAAAAAGCATCAAAATTTTCAGCATCGACTGGTTTTTGGTGTACAAAGTCTAAAAACAAACAACGGGGCCGGGGATACAGCTCAGTGGCATAGCACCTGCCTGGCACGTGCAAGGTCCTGAGTTTGATTTCCATTACCTAAAAATAAAAATAAAAAAGAACAACAGAAATAACTTCCCATATGAACTATAATGAAAATACCAATAGCACTCTACAAAAAAAATTTTACTTCAATTATCATACCAAAGGCAGTCTTCACACAGAACAGCAGCGTGTTCTCTACATAATGTATTGCTTACACTGACAGGATATATGTTTTGCTTCCCTGGCGTTTTTATAGGACATACTTGACATCTCACTGGTCTTACTGATTTGTCAAGAGGTTCTTTATATTATGCAGTGTGTGGTTAACAGGAACATAAAATATCAATACAATAAAGTATTAAATTCTTCATATGTATTGTACCTTTAGAATAAACATCAACATTTTCATATCAGCTGTGTACTTGCTTCCAAAACCTGAGACAGCATCAGAAATAAAAACATGTGAGCTATAATGTAAACACAAACAAAAGTCTAGCATACAAATAATCTTTGCTTCAACTGTCACTCTCAAGGCGAGTTAAAATATCAAATGTGTAATGAGTGTTTGGAATAGACATCAGCATTTTCACATCAGTTGTTTACTTGCTTACAAAACCTAAGAGATAACATTAGAACTAAAAACCTATGGGAACTACAATGAAAATACCAATAAAGCTCTACAGCAAATACAATCTGGTCATACCCAAGGCAGTCTTCCCCCACGAAAACTGAACGTTACATACACAAGTATTGACTACACTGATAGCACTTGTGTTGTGTTTTCCTGTGCTTGCTTGTAGGGCACAGTTGACATCTTTTTGTTTTTTCTGTTTTCGTAGTAGTTCTTTGGGATGCTGCACCTGCCTGTTTGCCTGTCAGCTCACCAGTGCGCTGCATAATTTTTTGGCATAGTTCCCTGGGAATAAACATTTTGTTTTCCCTCTGCAATAAATGATCTCTAATGAGTTCTAGTCCCTGTCGTCTAAGAAAATTTCTCCATAGTGTTTTAGCCTTGTTATTTTCTTTGTAAATATCAAAATACTTATGCCACACATGTTCAAGATCAAGTAAAACACAACCATAGGCCAGTGTTTTGTGTTTCAAGTGACATCATGCTTGCTGCATAAGTCATGAACAACGTCTATTCTACCTTTGGTTTTGTTGTAGAAAGTTTCCATCTCAGGCTTTGATTTTGTCAAGGTTTTCCTATCAATATTTCCATCATGGTGCAATGTTAACATTAGCAATACCAGCATTCTTTTCTTTCCCATATATGAGATCAATGTAAGTCTTTCTGAAGTCCAAAGATTGAACTATATAATTCTCTGTTTTGAAATTGCAACACTTCATCTGGAGATATTGCTTTGTTTTTGCATATGGTTCCTGCCCTGATCAACTTGTGCTCTGTTAGCAATCTAACATCAGTTGGAACCAGTAAACCAAACGTAACATCAATTGGAAACCAGTAAAATTGCTGGTTTTGGAGATGGGAGCAATAGGTCTGTTCACAGTGTCACTCAGTTTATTACTACACGAATAAGGACCTGATGGCTGAGTTCCAGGGTAAATGTTTAAATTGAAAGCATGATCTTTCCATCTACAGGGACATACATTTTTATCCCATATTTTGACCTATCACTTTTCCATAAGTTTTTTACATTCCTGCAGTTACCATGAGAGATCCCTGCTAAGTACAGCAGACCTATGAATGCTTTCAGTTCGGCTAGTGAGGTGTCATAATAAATACATTTTTTAATATGGCTGTTGGTGCATACAGAACGTTTTACTTGCATTTCTGCCTTTTTTATGTATTTCACAGCGTCTTGTAGCATTTTGTCTGTTACAGTTTCCAACACTGAGTGGCAGTGCTGGCATTCTGTCCAATGTTTCACCCCTGCCAACACCCTCAGTATATTTTCAGACCTAGTTCTAACATTAGATCATTCCATTTGGTTGTGTGACCGTTTCACACCATATGCCAAACCTATTAGAGTATCACGTCTGAAAATCCTCGTTCGACACTTCTGTACATGTGTACACTCCTTGCCTTTCATGATGTAAATGGGTAAACACAAACATTGCTTCTTGTACCCAAAAATTTACATGAGGAATGTGTTTGTGTAACCTGGTGTTATGCTCCTCAATCTCTATCACCAGAATAATTTATATACACTGTTTTAATTTGCTAAGCTTCCTGTAACTAAGTACTACAAAGAAGATGGTTAAAGTAAAAAATGTTCTTGTCTTATAGTTCTAGAGCCTGGAAGTGTGAAAGGAACTGCTTTAGAAGGCTGATTCCTTACTCTGCTGTGAGAAAGAATCTCATGTCTATCCCTTTGCGTCCGGTGGTTTGCTACCAGTCTTCGATGTTCTTTGGCTTATACCTTGTCCTGTTCTCTACTTCATATGTAAATGGTGTTCTCCCTGTGTGCATGTCTATCCAAACTTTACTTTTTAATAGACATCAGTCATATTGGATTACCCCAGGGGTTCACTTTATATTACCTCTCTAAAAACCAAGCAAGGTGTTATTCAGAGTTTATGACCTAATTCAACCCATAACATTATGTATGTGTGTAAAGCTTCAAAACATGTGAGCTGTTTGTGGTGGTGCCTGCTTGACATCCCAGCACTCTGAAAGGCTGAATCAAGAGGCTTGTAAAGTCAAGCCAAAAGTGAGCAACTGAGCAACTTAGCAAGACCCTGTCTCAAAATAAGAAATAAAAGAGGGATTGAGGACGTAGCTCAGGATGAAGGCCTTGGGTTCAATTCCTAGTACTGCAATAAATAAATGAATGGATGTTTGTATGTGTGTGTATATACATATTTATGCATTTTTTTCTACTTTAGCCCTTCATACATTTTGCAGTTTACTATGGGACATACTGAAGTCTTTTTGCAAAGGTAAGGTCATTTCCATGGTATATAAGGATTAAACAATAGTATTAAAATAGTCTTGTCAAGATCAAGGGAGACTGCCTTCTCTTGGCTAACCCTTAATTAACTGATTATTTTATAAAACAGTTGAGTAAACCTTTTCTCTCCCCTCAGGGGTTTGCCAAGTACCCCTTTATGAGGTTAACCTTGTTTCAAAAGATGGTAAATTGCTGGGTGTGGTGGTGCATGAGTGTAATCCCAGCACTCAGGAGGCAGAGGCAGGAGAATCCCTGTGAGTTCAAGGCCAGCTGGAATGCACACTGAGACCCTATCTGAAAAACAACAACAAAAGATGGTTGAAACACCTCTACCTCTCTATACCTTCTTCCATCTAAGGAAGAAGTTCATCCATGTTTTCAGTGCATGGACATAGTCTATGAACTGCATCAAAAGGAAGAGGCAGCTTGATCTTACGTTTTATAACTTAGATAATTAGCAGTGATGTCATTCAATGATAGCTTTTTCGTCTGAGGTGCTAAGAAAGGAAAAAAATGACAAGGTAACAGGCATGCATAATTTCTTCAGATTTGAGAATAATGAACAGCTCCATCTTCTTTGATTTTTTTTTTTTGGCATATACCATGTTTAAATTATCTCTTGAGATTAGTCAGGTCCTTGCAGTACTGTTCTCTAGGGACATTAGTTAGTCACAGTTTATCAATCCCATCTTACCCCAGGGGAAGGAAAATTTGTAACTTGGCAAATGTCCAAAACCTCAGCCTATAAAGCAGGATTTTCTAAGTGTGTCCTGGCACAAGTAATTGTTAACTCTGCAAATTTGTTTTATTATATGTTTTAATGACTATTTTCATATGGTTTCTGAAATTCATACAGTGAAAATAAGTAGTTTTGAATCCAGTATTTTTTCAGATTTTGCAAAATATTTAGTTTTCAAGCCCAGAACAGTCAACTATAATATATAAAATTATATCAGATATAATTTATTTCTTAGCACTTGTTATTAAAGATGTATTGATTTGAAATATAGAAATAATCTCTGGGCATGTTAATTTGGGTAGATATCAAAATCAAGACAGATCAAAGTGGATTAAGAATTTTGCTAATTCTTCAATAGAATGTCTCCTTCATGTTAATGTATTTTCAGTCTTTAAATTTCAATTTTTATTTATTTTTTTTCCTAAAGAATGATTCTAAATTTATAAACTCATTGATAAATTTTAACATTCTCTTCCAGAACAGAAGAGTCTATTTTGTCCAAAGGATTGGTAAGATTTGTTTTCTCCCATTATAATTTATTATTTTTTTCTTTTTGGTTGAAACAATGCCTTTTGATATAGTTCAGGCTGGCCGTGAACTAACTATGTAGTCCATGCTGGTCTTGAACTTGCAGTCGTCCTCATGCCTCAGTCTCCATCGAGCTGGGATTATGGGCGTGCACCACCTTGACTAGCCCCCGTTATAATTTAAATACATATCATATCGACAAATATGGCTGTTGATTTTGCCTTCTACCTGTCTGTTTATATTTTAATTTGTAGGAACTGCTGGAGAGTGGTTTATTGAGAATAGAAGATAACAGTGTACTTTACCAGTACTTAGAAATCAAGAGTTTTCTTACTGTACCTCAGGTAAATGAAATATGTATTCTAATCTTTAAAATAGCCCCCTGCCTTCTGAGCCTTAGGTAAGGTCACAATTCCTCTCCCACTTCTCTACTTTGAAAACTCTAGTGTCATTTCATCAATTAGAACTTTTTGTGATGATAGAAGTGTTATATGTACTGTACAGTAAGAAAGCCAGTACCCTTACTGAGTATAGTACTTGAAATGTGGAATTGAATTTTTAATTTAATTTAATTTAAACTTAACTATTAATAGCTACCGTAGTTGATGCCATTGCATCTGATGACAAACAATTTTCTTAATACTTTGTATCTGTTGGAACCTTGGAAAATGAAGCTGCTTTACTTTTTCCGTAATTCATGTTCTCAGAACTCCCATCTGAAGCGTGCTCTGACTCATTACTAGAAAGACTACCATACATTTTTTTCCCTCCTGTGGTTTATTAGTACTCTTGGTTGGTTGTTATATCCAGATATACCCTTAGCTGTGAGCGGAGAAATTTCTTAATATTTAAATAAAAAAGCATAGATTTTGTTAAGATATTAGGCTTATTTTTAATGAATGCATTGTATTGTGTCTACTTGATTTCATTTTCTTGCCACTCTAAACATAACTGAAAATTACCATTCACTTTCAAAATCACTTTGTAACATATCACTTTGTTACTTGTAGATGTAACTTGTAGATGTGATAGCAGAATGAAAACTTTAGGGAAAAATAAATTTACCTTTTTTGTAAATCTCCCACCCTTATAATCTCCTACCTCATCTCTGAAATGTTAGTATCCACTATTGATAACATAGAGTTTTTGCAGTCAATATAGTATTTATATCTCAATTTAATTTTTTTATTTTCAGAGCTTAGTCAAAGTAATGACACTTTGCCCCATTGAGACATTGGTATGTAAATTTGGGGGGATTAAATAATAATGAGTTACAGTGAGAAATTTTGCTAGTTTAATCTTTATTAACTTTATGTAACAATATTATTTGTTCCATTTTAGAGGAAAAAAGGTTTAGCCATGCTTCAGTTGTATATTAACAAGTTGGATTCACAAGGCAAATATACATTATTTAGGTATGTATCAAGCATGACTAATTGTTAAGTGTGTGGCTGATGGAAAACCAAATTAATGCCAGCATACAGTATTTCAGCAAGTTTTACATGGAATTCTACCCTAGTCGGAAGCAGTATTGTAAGTAATCTGTGACTGGTAGAGAGGGGTTTATCAAATATTTTTGGATAATCTATACATACATATTATATGACTAATAGTATATATCTCAGTTCAGTTAATGGAAATACTCTAAACTTCTGCTTCTGGATCTGTGGAGAAGCAGAACATCATGGCCCCAAGCAGGTGGCGAAGGAGTTGCTCACCTCATGGAAGCCAGTAAGCAAAGAGAAGGGAATGATCAGGGACCCAAAATCCTCCTTAAGGCCACAGCCCTGCTTCCTTCCAGTAGGCCCCACCTCCTGCAGGTCCCATTGCCTCCCAACAGAGCCATCATCTGGGGACCAAACTTTCTCAACACATGAGCTTTTGGGGAACATTTAAGATCCAAACTATAGCCCTAGTCATATATGGAGTCTCCTTTTGCAGTTAAGCTAACCAGCACTCACCTACATCAACAATAATTCTGGGAAGTTTTAAGTTACGATATTGATGTCAGTTCTTGCCATGTTAAATTATAACTGTGCACCTGGGTGTGGTGGCACACACCTGTAATCCTAGTACTCAGGAGGCTGAAGCAGGAGGATTGTTGTGAGTTCAAGACGAGCCTGGGCTCCAAAGTGAGCTCAAGGCCAGTCTGAACTACGTAGCAAGACCCTGTCTCAAAAAGACCAAAAAAAAAAAAAAAATTATAACTATGCACAAAAACATTCAAACTGGATTAGTAGAAATTTCTTTTTGAAAGATCTGACTTTGTGCTTGATTGATCACCCTGTCTTCATTCTGGATTTATATTTCTAGAAGTAAGAACACATGGCCCATTTGAATTGATAAAACTTCTATCACCATTTAGTTGTAATATAATTTCATATACTGTAATTTTGCTTTCAAGGTGCTTATTGAATACAAGTAATCACTCAGGTGTGGAGGCCTTTATTATTCAGAATATCAAAAACCAAATTGACATGTCTTTTAAGGTAAGAACATAGCAAAAGTGTCAATTACCTATTTTGATTATATGTGGAATACAAAAATATGGATTTATCTGTAGTGTTAAGGTATATTCTTATTTCTACTATGAAAACTTTGAATTATGAAATTTTCTTAACTATACATTTAAATTGCATTCATTGAACTGATAATGTGACTTTCTGTTTTGCTGTATGTTTCTGAAGAATAAATGAAAATTTTATAAGGTTTCATCTATTTGTGAATACTTAGTGATTCCGGATAGAAAACAGAGAGCAACCACCATTGTTCTCAGCCTGGCAGGGTTTGCTGGAAGGTGAAGAGAAGTATGGATCTTAAGTTTAAAAAAATCTTAATGTGTAAAAGATTATTTTTGTAGTATTAAAGTGCCAGAAAAGCACTGTTTATCATACTGTTATTTAAACCTTACCCAATTTTTCTTGACTTTGCAGAAAACGCCTAACAAATGGTTTACAGGACCACAGCTGATTTCCCTTTTAGATTTGGTGCTGTTTCTCCCAGAGGGTGCTGAAACAGATTTACTACAAAACTCAGATAGGTGAGGAGACTGTCACTGAGGTTCAAACAGTAAACCACCTAAAGTAATAAAACGTATTCTTTGTGGTTTTTATAATCTATGGTTAATTCATAAAATAATTCTTAAAACTTGCTTTTTTGGCGGGGGCAGGTTTCCAGTACTGGGAATCGAACTCACGACTTTGCGCTTGCCAGGCAGGCGCTGTGCCGCTGAGCTAAATCCCCAGCCCCTAAAACTTTCATATTTAAGTTCTTCAATGTATAGAAACAAAGTAAAATCTTTCAAGAAGAATGACCAACACCCTAATTTTGTATCCTTAATATACTCAAATCTGATGGAGATTTGTAACTGTAGCATATGTGGTAAAAATTACAAATCTCGTGGGTATCATTTATAAGAGGCTTACGTATTTGGGTTTGTTGTTTTATTTTGTATTTCAGGTACCCCCCCACCCCAGATAGGACATGTGATCTCCCTGTTGTTATACTAGAATGGAAGTTGAGAAATGTTTAAAGTACTTATAGAAAGAAAGGAATCTTAAGATCCAGAAACCAAGTGATGATATTTTCAAATATTAAGGATAACAGATTTTTTTTGAAGGGGGAAAAATAGTAATTTTCACCACTGCATTTTATGAATTTGAATGCAAACAAGAGTAATAAGCAATTACTACTCCAGAAGATGTGACAGGAAGTTTCTAATGTCAAATGTAATTAGAAAAATATTCATAATGTTTTCACTTCCTTCATGCATTGAAATAGCAGTTGATTATATAAAACTACTGTAAGTAACAAATTATATATTTTTAATTAACAGGATTATGGCTTCATTAAATTTATTGAGGTATTTGGTTATCAAAGATAATGAAAGTGACAATCAAGTAAGTTAATTATTTCAAAAAGAAACTGTGAGTATATTTAAAATGCACAAGGAATATTTTATTTTTATTTATTTATTTATTTATTTTTGTCTTTTTGAGACAGGGTCTTGCTGTGCAGTTGAGGCTGGCCTTGAGCTCACTTTGTAGCCCACGCTGGTCTCAAACTCGCAATGATCCTCCTGCCTCAGCCTCCTGAGTGCTGGGATTATAGGCATGTGCCACCACGCCCAGCAAGGAATATTTTAGATTCTCTTAGTAACTATGTAAGCCAGTGTTTAATATCTTACTCAGCTACAAAGGCTAGGAAAGGTACTAACAATTATTCTGACCCTTAACCTTTCATTCTCAGAAGCACTTAGCATTCTGCATCCCACTTCGTTTTCCTTTCCTTTTCCTACTGTGCTTCTGCCTCGTGGCTCAGCGGTATGGGATTAGATATGTTGCAGGCTCTAAGTTGACTGACCTTGTGGAGCTCAACATATATTTGAGTGACTTGTTAATTTTCTTTACCTATATTGTGTGATTTAAGTCTGAGCTATATAAAATTGTCTGACATTTAATATCACATCATCAGTCATGACAAACTGAAGAAGCACTTTCAGTACTGAAACTGAATTTGTTAACAGGACCTTTTGGACAGTGTGTAGGAAGGTGGTTTTTTAAAATAGCACTTCATTAGAAGTATTCAAATGGAAAACTGTTTGAAGGAGATTTGTCATACAGTAGAATTAATTTGCTTTTTATCTTCTACCTACTCTATTCTAATAATTGCTGTCCCTACATGTGTCACCTCTGTTAAGTGTAACCATCTGAATCATATGTTGTTATTCTGGTTTTTAAAAAAAAAGCAATAGAATGAAAGCAATTGATTCTATATAAAGATGCCAAAGAAATGTTTTAATAGTGTAAATCGTGATTCGGGATGAAAAGTTCATGGGGAAAAGTAGCAGTTTCCTTCTTTCCTTACTGATTTTGTATAGTCAGTTATTTGACTTCTTGTTCATCCCTCTTTAGTTAATGATTAATTGCTTTCATTGACCGGTGCTTACTCTGTACTAGATGTTAATTTCTTTTCAACGTTTTATTGTGAAAAATTTCAAATATACAATAAAGCTTAAAGAATTTTATAGTGATCATTGATTTACCTACTACCTAGCTGCTACTATTTTACTCTACTTGCTTAACCATTTATTCATCCATTCCCCATTCATTGTTGTTTTTTGATGCATTTCAAAGTAAGCTGCAGAAGCCAGCGTAGTTTGCCCAGAATATTTCAGCACTTATTTCATTAAGTAGAGTTAAATATTTGTCAGTTTTTTTGTGAAGTAAAATTTATATAAAATACATAAATTTTAAGTGTACATTCAGTGTTTTAATAAATGCATAGATATATTTTATCCTAAACCATATCAAATATAGACGATTCCCATCATCACAAGAAGCTTCCTCATGCCTCCTCCTAGTTAATTCTGACTTTATTGCTCCATCCCCATCCCTGCCAGAGGCAACCACTGTTCTGGCCAGGTTTTGTGTATCATTTATTCTTCACAAAGCTAAAAGAAAAGTACTACACTTTTCCCTTCGTACTGGTAATGTAAGCACAGGGAAGGATCGTTAATATGCACAGGAACACATATCTAGAAAGACGTAGAAATGGCCATGATTCTGGGCAGTGGCCAGAACTTCTGACATCACAAATTGACTGCTAAAGGAGGGGTAAGAACAGAAAGCATACAGTGTAAGATTCAGCATTATTGGAGGCCCTGCACCTTCGGAAGGTGTCCTTAGGTAAGGAGTGAGTTTTTACTTCTTTAGTAGTCAGAAAAAGCTGTACCTACATAAGAGATGATCTGATTTGACAGAAAAGGAATTAGTGATTGGAACTGACAGACTTACTAGGTGGGGGACACAGAGGCAGCAGATGGTGAGAGAGAGAACACTTGAGAGTTCAGCATTATGCTTTAATATCCACAAGTAACTCCTCACTTCTATTGGATGGGAACATTCCATGGTGAAGAAAAGAATACAGCCAAGCCATAGGACAGCCTTATTTAATGGTTTTCCATTTTTTTCCTCAGGGATCAAATATTCCAAATTTTTGCCACATTAATTATCACATGAACTAGAGAAATTAGCCAAAGACCTTGTCGAAGGTGGCAACCTGACACCTTTGAAGCAGCTTCAGACAGGCAGCCTGTCTCTGAGGGACACATCTCTCTCAGGTACAAGTGTAGTAGGTCATATATGTGAATGAGAGGCAAGTCTAATAAATCAAAAAATGTCAGCTTCTGGGACTGTGGGTTTATCGCAGTGGTAGAGTGCTTGCTTAGCATAGGCAAAACTCCGGGTTCAATCCCTAGTGACCAAAAAAAGTAGCTTTTGATTGGGGCATTGTTTTTGAAGTTCGGTTAAAAGAAAAAATGATACTTTAGTGATGCTTAGTTGGGGAACATTTTATTCAAAAGGATGAGTTCCTATTTTTGACCTGGTAAAGTAGACTGGAGGTAACTCCTCAGATGAAAAGCTGAAAAGCAGTCAGAACAGTAAACAGGAAATTTAAATAAGAACAGAATCATTCACATACAAAGACAACAAAGAGATTCATATTTGAATAATGATCAGATTCCACTCCTGCCTTTCTGAGTTACTGTCACCTGACTTACTCTTCCTAAGCCATTTCCCTTCTCATCTTACTGTGTTACAGGCCTTTATCTCCCTGCATAAGTTACAAGCACTTCCTCCCACATTTGGGTTCCACGTAACTTTTTGTGAATCTAACAGTGTAAACCATGCCCTCTGTTGTTAAAACCAACTTAAGTTTTTATACCTAATGTTGTCTGTTGGTGGATACCTTTAGTTTGCTTTTTTGGTTTGGTTTGATTTTTTGAAAAAGGGTTTCACTATGTAGTTGAGGTTGGCCTTGAACTCACTATGTAGCCCAAGCTGGCCTAAAATTCATGGCAGTCCTCCTGCCTCAGCCTCAGAGTGGTGAGATTATAGGCATGCACTGCTATGCCCAAGATTTTCTTGCTTTGAATTACAGTAATCTGTTGTGCACAGTCTATAATTATGTTATTCCTTACTTTCTGTTCTGTTATATTCATATCCTTTCCTGTCCATTTCTTTACCCATTGTTTCATAAAATAATTTCTAATTATAATATGTTCAGCAAAAACAGTCAAGGGAAACAACAAGATTATAAAGCCATAAGTAAGTACCAGCAATTTTTAGAAACAAATTGTATAATCTATTTATATATTTTCTTCATGTAGGAAGAAAACTACAAATATCTTGCATATGCACATACACATATGCCATAAATGCATACATTTCATTTTTCACCAAGATTAAAATGTGTCCTGGCTGGGGGTGTAATTCAGTGGTAGAGTGCTTGCCTATCGTGCGCAAGGCCCTAGGTTCAAACTTTAGCACTACAGAAAATAAATAAAACATATCCCTTGCGTGGTATCTGTAGAGGCGAATGCTTCAGGTTACAGAAGCTCCTTTATATTACAAGTGGTAGATATTCTGAAACATTACTTCATAAATAAAAAGCCAATCTCAGAGTTAAAAATTGAATGCTTCCTCTTATATGAGCAATAAAATAACAAAGGAGAGAAAACAGGAAACTAGAATACAGTCTCACAGAGATGGAGCATGGGATGGAAGTGCAGAGGAGAGGGAAAAGGGGGTAACAGGATGAAAATAATGAAAATGTGACATCCGTGTACCAGTATACCATAATGAATCTCATTCTCTACCATTGATACGCACCAATGAAAGGAGAAAGGGAAATCTGAGTCTTTTCATAGCTTCTTTTTATTCATTTTTGCAAAGTCCCCATCTGTTCTGGCAGTAAGTTTCTTTGTAGTATAGAAATGCCTAGTCTGTCTTTTGTGAGAAAAGCTACAGTGAATTTTGAAACATACAGGTAAGCCTTGGAACTGGAAAGATTTGAGAATTGTTAAAAGCAGCCATTTTTGAGTATTTCAAATTTTAATCCTTACAACTATTCAAAAAATCTTGTTACTTTTCTGTACATTAAAGATTAAAGATCTTAAAATGATTTTCTTTGTAGTTTTTTTTTTTAAGGATCTGGCAATTTTAATGTAAATCAGTGAAAATATTATTTCCATTCTTTACTCCCACCTACTTCTAAAAATATTACAGTTCATCATATGAAAGATTTATGGAGTTATGCTTTTCTCTTTGCTGAGACAAAATACCCAACACTCACAAATTAAGGGAGGAAAGGTTTATTTAGCTCAGTTTGTAGAGGTTTCAGTGCTCGCTTCGGCAGCACATATACTAAAATTGGAACGATCCGGAGAAGATTATCACGGCCCCTGCACAAGGATGTAGAGGTTTCAGTCCCTAATTGTCTGGCTTCAAGACAGAGTGGATGGCAGACAGGCATCACAGAGGAGAAACAGTTCCTGGTAGAACAGAAGGCAGCAAAGCAACAAGGGCCTTAACAGCATCTTTCTGCCCCTTTTATCTTCTCCAGACTACTTAGGGTGGGTAACACTCACCCGCTTAATCATAGTGGCCCTGAGCCTGGCTACCACTGCACTGTGAATCAGTTCCAGCATCGCACACTACAGATCCAGCCGGCTGCATTAAGGCTTGGAGGGGACTTCTAGACATAAACCATACAGTGCTGAAAGAAATATAAAAAATCTTTAGCCTAATTTTGGCATTTGTTTTTATTACCTGTGGACTGTGTATTAACTATATAACTGTCATTGAAAACAACGAAGTTTTTAATATTTAGAGACCTTACAGCTTTGCACTTTTCATTATAATAGACAGTGGCCACATAGGATTATTGAAATTTTAATTGACAAATTTTTAAAAATTAGAAATTCTTCCGTGGCATTGGATAATGCCATTTTGTTTGTTTCCTTTGCTTTGCTTTTGTTCTTTGTTTTGTTTTGTTTGTTTTGTTGAGAGAGGGTCTTGCTGTGCATTCCAGGCTGGCCTTACCTTGATCCTCATGCCTCCGCCTCCTAAGTGCTGGGATTATAGGCATTCGCCCAGCTGAATAGTGCCATTTTTGATCACTGCTTCTCAGCGTATGATCCCTATGAAAATCATTTGGGTATTTGAGGTTTTTAAATAAATACAAGTTACTAGGTACAGCCCGGCACACTCAATAAAAACCTCTCAGTAAAGCATAGATATCTACAATTTTAACTAACTAATATATGGTAAAGCTTGAGCACATCCATATATTATGAATTAAATATCTTGAGGGTATCATTTGTATATGATAAAGGATATTAACTATTTAGAATTAAATAATGAAATACTACATGTTAAAACTTGTGGGATGCAGCTACATTGGTACTCAGAAAAATTCCAGTTTTAAATGCTTATTAGAAAATTACTGAATGATTTCTAGCATGATTGATTTTTAAACTGCATGAAAATACACTATCTTAATTAGAGTATAAGTACAAATACAGTAAAAATAGTAAAAATTTTATGACAATACATCAGTAAATCTGAAAACTTTAGTGAAATGGAATTTCTTAGAAAATACAACTAAACAAAACTGCCACTAGCAGTCTAATAAAAGAAAACCCAAAGTCAGATAATTTTACCATATTTCTAAGAAACACATAACTCAGATCTTACATGTTTTGATGCTAGAAAAATAGTAGTTATAACTAATGCTATGAGTTTAATAAGACAATGTTAATACCAAAACAGATAAAAACCAAAATAATAGGCCACCATTATCTACCATTTTGCTTTCTACTATTGCAGTTTCCCCACATTCAACTGTGGCCCAAAAATATTGCACGGAAAATTCCAGAAATAAGAATCACCTAGAATCAGCCCCGTAGCTAGCCTATCTGTGCTGTATGTTATCAACCCATTTTTTTGTCTTTTACTATGCCCTATAGTTTTTTTTCTTGATAGGCAGATAAATGTACCAGGTAAAATGAACTGCCATAAATGAGCCTTTAGTAATGGAATAAGGTGGGAGAAGGAAAATCATTATTATAGTTGTATGATTAGGTCTCTGGTCAGCTTATGCTCCTGCACTGTGAACTTCACAAGTGCTTTTGTGTCCCCCTCCCTTAGTGGGGACGGACCGCTAGTACTGACGGGTTGGGTGTAGGCTCTGGAGAGAGCACAGCAGATCACGCTCTGGTTAACTAGTCTCTCTCAAGACACTTTGTGAAAACAGAGTACTCTGGCATATATCAAATAGTTATTTTTTCCCTACCCCTACCAGAAGACCAAGGAGATTTTTTGTTTATGGTTTATGTATTTTGAGCTTTATTTTAGCTACTTTTCTCTCGTTGCCGAGACAAAATACCTCACACCTGAAGTTAAAGGGGGAGAGGTTTATTTAATTCCAGTTTGTAGAGGTTTCAGTCCATGGTCAGCTGGCTCTAGGGCAGGGTGGCATGGCAGACAGGCATTGCAGAGGAGAAAGTTCACGGTGGGCAGAAGATAGAAAAGCAAACAAGCAAGAGGCAAGACAAGCCTCTTTCTGTCCCTTATGTTGTAATCCAGGCTACTGGGATTAAGGCATGGCCAGACCAATCAGTGGATGATGTAGTAATCAACCACCTTTTATCCTAGCATTGTATCATGAATCCGTCACACACTAGATTCAGCTACCTCTGAAAAAGCCCCACCTATGACTGCATGAAGCTTTAGGGGGGACATCTAGATACAAGCCATAACAAGCTCTAAGAAATCTTTGAAATAATCTATATTATCTTGTAGAAGTGGTATAGTTTTAGGTTTTATATTTAGATCTATAATCCATTTCAAATAAGTTTATGTGGTGGGAGGTATGAGTTGAAGGGTTTTTCTTTCATTTTGATGCCAGCACTATTTGTTAAAAAGGCTATCCCTGACTTGTAGAATTATCTTGGCACTTTCTTCAAAAATAAATTGATCAGGATAGGTGCTGCTGTACATTCAGGGGTATCACACATTGGTACTCAGCGGCTCTGAAACTCACTGAACTCAGTAGGCCATGCACTTTTGACACAAAAACTTTCGTCTCGGTACTTGTCATTTGTTTGGTACTTAATGTGCAAGCTAGAATGTCAGTGTCCATCGCCTCATGACTCACCATCCTTTCTAGCCAAAACAATCACTGGTACTCATTTTTGGTACTTGTCATGCCTCCTGGAACCAAATTAATGACCGGCACCAAGGTACCACTTCATCCCAGCATTCTGGGAGGCTGAATAAGGAGGACTGCAAGTTCGAGTCCTGCCTGGACAACTTTGCAATTTATTGACACATTTTTCTCAAGGTAAAGGGCTATGGATATAGCTCAATGTGAAGGCCCTGGGCTCAATTCCCAGTACTAAAATAAAAACAGCAAATTGTGTAAGTACAGGTATAATTTGGGACTTTGTTCTCTTCTATTGACCTGTGTCTACTACCAATACCACACAACTGTCTTGATTACTTAGCTTTACCGTAAGATATTGTGGGATTTTCCTTGCAAAATTGTATAACTCATGTTTTCTGTGAAGGGTCAAAAGTCTTATTAATGGAAGCATATGTAAAAAATCTTTAATTACACTACTAAAACAGGTCCCCTGTTTTAAAAGCAGGGTAGTTGAAAAGGAGTAGTTAAAATCGCATGTATTGGTACTATACTGTCTGCCATTATGATATGCCAGCACATTTGTACATTTTTTGTTTTTTTTTTTAATTAAAAAATGAGGTTATACTATAGGATCACATACTATTTGTTGGTAGCCTTTTCCCATTCATCAATACGTACTGAAGAACAATATTTTAATGGTTGTGTAGTTTTCTGTTACGTAAATGTACAATTTCATTCTCCTGCTGTGAAATGTTTTCATGAATTCTAGTTTTTTGCTTTTTAAGTATTATTTTTAAATACATCTCTGCAATAGAATATTTATAATATACGCCTATAATTATTTCCCCACGATAACTTCATAGATGTTGAGTGAAAGGACAGCACATTTTTTGAGATTTTTGGATTCTGATCTAGCTCATTCCTCCAACAGTATTTTTCCTAGCAGTATAGGAGAATAAAAAGGGCAGATGTAAATGGAAAGGATGTGAAAGTCATTCCTATTTTCAGTTGGTCAGCATAAATATATGTAGATTTGGAGGACTGAAGTAAAGTGTATACTACCTGGATCAAAATGAATTCATTACAAAATAGGTTTCAAGTGGTCTGTTTCATTGTTAGGGATAATGGGTTCCTTTTTTACCCAAGACATTTTCCAGTGAGAATGCCTGGAACCTTAATCCTAATAGATTTTCTTCCTCTTGTTCTTTTCTTTCTTTTAAAATTTTTTTAAATAAAGTAAGATTTCATTACATCCCTCCTTTAGTACTGTAGGAGGAAATGATCTTGAAATGAAAACATCACAGATATGTGATAGAATAACCTCAAGCTGCCCTAAGCAAAGTCTGCCTTTACACTGGTCGCCAGGGAAGTCCAAATTAGCGTTGTGTAGTAAATTTCCCACTAAGGAAGAGCCAATCATGTAGAAGTAGCTACAGTAATGATATTGAAAAGTCCAGAGCTGAAGGCATATTCAAGGTACAATCATTGTACAAATGGTATATAGGGAAAGAGAAATGTTTCAAAGTGTGTGGGTTATCATCAAGTAACTTTCTCAAGGATGAATGTGACAGATCTCAAAATGAGGAACTACCCAAATGAAGCAGTAATGAGTATAGTGCCCTATGGACGTTTTTCATTTGTATTTTTTGTTGTGCTTGATACTCAACTAGATATAGTAACAAAAATAAACTGTCTTGAAAAGCAAGGATAGTGTTTCATTCATTCTTGTCTCTCACTCTCTATGCATGGATAGTAATAGGCTATCAGTAAGTGTTGAAACAAGGAACTAATTCTTTAATTCTTCTGAACAGACTGGATTGTGGACGGAACTTGGAAAGATTGAAACTAATTTCCTAAAGCCACTTCATACAGGACTCAATATGTCAAAAGCACACTATGAAGCAGAAATTAAAAATAACCAAGAAAATAACCAAGGTTGGTAATGTGCAGTTTTCTTTTTAGTTAGGTCTAAAAATTAATCAGATTTTGGAACTGTCACATTCAAGAAAAAGAACACTTCAGTTCATGTACAATTTATGCCAAAGGAGCATCAGTTGTGCCAAGTGAAGGACCACAAGCGCTGAGTCATTTCCTTTATAATTAAACTGATTCTTAGCAGATGTCTAAGCCACTTAACACTGAAATGGGGCTACCAAATTGAAGCATAATCTGTTTCAAAGTCTTAAGTTCTGATCAAGAATGTGGTTGTATGGGAGGTTAAGGAGGATCACAAGTTCAAGGCCAGCCTGGGCAACGTAGTAAGAACCTGTCTTAAAATATAAAGGGCTTGTGGGTATAGCACCATGCCAGAGCACTTGTCTAGTATGTGCACAGCCGTGGGTTCAATCTCCAGCAGTGAAAAGAATATTTTTTTTAAAAGAATGTAGTTGTGTTACAAACATTTTCCTTTTGTGCCATTGTACTTGCTTTTGTATTGCTAGGTCCACCCCTCTTAGCCCTGAATAAATCTGTACAAATTATGAAAAAGAATCTTAGATACAGACTTAAAGTTAACAATTCTGCTGTAATAATGTGATCTTTTTCATATATCTGTGGTGGTATTTTTATAGGCATTATTAAAAATCTTATCTTTTTTAGAGGGCTGTAATATCACATATAAAAATGAAGTTTTTTGCATCCTTTACATGCTAAAGTAATGCTTTTTATCTACAAAAGCATTACCCTCATACATTGAAGAATCTAGTATTTACTTATATCTTGATTTAATTATTCCTTGAGCTCTTAGGTAAGATTTGATAATTCATACAAATAACTGAAAGATTTAAGTTAGTAAATGATGAGAGTAGCCCATAATGTATTATTAAAATGTATGTATTATTAAAATCCTGAGCGTTGTTTTAATGGATAAGTTTGATGTGATTTTTCTTCTCTTACAGCAGACAGGAAGTCTAAGGAGCTTTGTTCTGTAACTATAGGTAGAGAAGAGATTCCTAATATGCCTCCTGAAATGCAGCTGAAGGTGATTTGGTGTTTTCTTAAGCTGTATCTGGCTAGTCTTTTTCTGTGCTTTCTTTTAAAGGCAGGATTAATAACACGAAGTTTTCTTGGCATTGCAGGTCCTACACTCAGCTCTTTTCACATTTGACTTGATTGAAAGTGTTCTAGCTCGAGTAGAAGAACTCATTGAAATACAAACAAAGTCTACCTCTGAATGTAAAATGCTGGAATAAAGTAAAAGTTCTACTTCCTAAATAAAAATGGATAAAATACTGTATTTTCCATTATGCTTTTAGTACCTTTGTAAATATTTTTCTGCAAAAAGGTACTGTTAGAAAAGTTAATGTACCCTTTTCAGTTGTCAAATTCTATAAAATACATTATGGATCGTGGATTATGGTTTTAAAAAGTTAAAAATACTACATTGGAAAGTTTGATACAAACTAGTAAGTTTGTATTTCATAAAATGTAGCTGAAATGCTTTACTCAGTATAGTTGTGAGTTTATAAAAAGATGGATACACTATCTGCTTGAGTGTTGTATAACAGTTTAGAAATCCCTGGGTCAGTTTAGGTACCACACACCTGTAAAAGTGATGTGCTCAAGAGAGTGTATTGTTTTCTTAGCTTCCCTTCATGTGCTTCAAGAGCAGTCTTATGGAACAAAGTCCCTTCACAACCCCTGTAGCAGTTAATGGGGAAGCGCCTGCAAAGATTAACTTTACAATATAGGCTGCCCTTGTGAAAAACCTTAAGAAAGAGAGAGAGAGTATGTGTGTTTCCTTTCATGCAGGTAGCTCATAAGAAAATTCTGTATTTTATTTGCTCCTATTTGTCCATACAGCTTAATTTGTATCAAGAAACTGACTTTTGTAATATATATGTACAAATTACTTACTAAACATTATAAAAAATCACTCAGCAAAAGTAAAATAAAATATCTTTTAATTGAATACATGTTATTTTAAGTTAATATAAACATCTTTAAAGTAAATGTGTATTTAAATATTATAACATAACAGGTCTGGTTATTTTTATGTTCTTCCAAAAGAACTTTTATAACTGGTTCTCTAATTGGAGTTAATTAAATCACTATTCAGCTTTATCTTTTGAAGTGTTTTCCAAACAGGACTTTGCTCTATGATGTAAGCTTTAGTTGTTATCATTCTATAGCAGATGCTATCCATGCACGGTTTGGAGGAAGTCTGGAAGAAGATATAAATTTGCAGCGTTATTACAGAGACAAGTTTTTTTCAGGATCACATAAAAGAAAACCTGACTTTAAATTTGTTAATCAGGTATCTCATGATCACTTTTGTGCTAAAAAATATACAGTATATGAGTTGTTAAAATGGTAAGTACCTGATCTCTGTCTTCAAGGAATTTCAAACTTGTAAGTCAAAAGGAACAGTACAATAATGGCTTTAATGGGGATATATTTCAAGTATAAGAATAAGGAAGACCTAACGCTGCCTACAGAAGTTGGGATGTGTCTAGGCACATTTTACAGAGGAAGACAAGCATGAAAAGATAACGGGGTAATGGAGAACATTCCATTTAAAAATAGGTTTGCAGGGGCTGGGGATTTAGCTCACTGGCAAAGCGCCTGCCTGGCAAGCGCAAGGTTGTGAGTTCGATTCTTGGTACCAGAAGGACAAAACAAAACAAGTATGTTTGCACCCAGACCATTATGATTGCCATCTGACCGCTACATTATAGTTTGGAATTTGAAGGAAGCGATGAGTAACCTACTGGCCCAGCACAGTGTGCAAATGGCCAATACTCTTGTGGCCCAAAGTGAATCATAAATGGGTAGTGGCTACCAGAAGTAAACTGGAGGTTGAGTCAGGCTTGGGAAAGTTGTATGTGTGAAAAGGCAACCTCTCTGAGGTGAACAGAAGCAGGGTATTTGTCAGTCCTGCTCAAGAGGGTGTGCAGTGTGAAGCCAAACGCCTGGAAACATACAGTATCATGTATCTTTCCTCCCAGGTGCTTTACCTTAGCTATAGTGCACATAAGATGGATGGCATTCGCTGTGTTGTGGACTGGAAGTATCCGTAATTTACTTCCCAGGAATCTGAAAAAGTAAAATCCTAAGTCACACAGGCTATCTTTTTTTTTTTTTGTACCAGGAATTGAACTCAGGACCTTGCGCTTGCCAGGCAGGCGCTTGTGCCCCAGAGCTATATCTCCAGCCCCACACAGACACTCTTAACTGACATTTGTTCTTCTAAATAGGTGTAAAGAGACAGCTCTGTTGTTGACCGCGTGTTTATTCATGCAGGCCCTGCCTTACGTCACAGAGGATTTGAGGTGGCTTTGTAGCCAAAACTTCTCACTCTTGGTCTTGCAGGGAAAGCCCATAAATCAGCATGAACTCTGGCCACCCTCAATCATAGGACAGCTGTTTGTCCTAAGTCATTAAATATGACAGGTTAACATTAGAAAATTTATCTTGTAGCAAAAAAAGTCATCTGCCTAAATTAAGAACAGAAGTAAACACTACACAGTACAATAAAAATGTCTGCAGTTCTGTGCTTCCATACCTTTGCTGAATCCTGAATATCAGTTTCCATTCTTCATGCCCATGAAGGGCAGCAAACAGAACCAAAAAGCTATTTTGGTGAATGTTAAGAAACTTCTCGATTTTGGTTAGAAATACTTCCTCAGCTGACATAATGCATTCATGAGCATCCATCAATAAAAATGCAACTCCTAAAAAGTGGATATGTAAAGTCAGTTTTTCATACATAGCAAATTTTGTAAACAAAGTATAAAGTATATACTATAAAGTGTAAGTTCCCCTCTATACATGAGGATAAGAGCTGTTAAGCTTGTCACAAGGGTTAAATAATGTATATGAAGTGCCCAAAATATATGGTAGGTCACTAAAAATGATTTACTTTCCCCTGGAAGGCTCTCTGCTAAACCAGAAAGAATGAGTTTGAGGCTGGACCGCTTTCAGCCTGGAGGTCTCTGAAAGAACTGTTGAAAGCATTTATCTCCCCAAACCACTGCTATAGTAGCGGTCTACTGCAACCTCCCAATAAAATCCTTTACGTCTACCTCTGCCTTAGTCACGTGTTCCTGGGACAAAATACCTGACATCCACAGTTGAAAAGAGGAGAGGTGTCTTTCGGCTCAATTTTTGGAGGATTCAGTCCATAGCCTCCTGCTTAAGGAATGGCATGGTGGAGGGGTCAGGTGAAGGAAAGCTGCTCTTCCCCCTGGTGGCCATGAAGCATTGAGACTAGGGGAGAGCCAGGGAAGGAGAAACTCCCTTCCGGCTCCCACCTCAGTGAACTGCTGCTAAGCAGGTCCTGTCTCCTAACGTATGTACTTAGCTACTGAACTCACTGCTAGATGAGTCCACTGATGACTGTAGCGCCCTCAGCCAATCACCCTCCGCAGGCTCCACCTCTGAACACGTGAGGCTTTGGGAGGAGACTCCGATCTAAACCATAACCGCCTTTTTATCACTTCTGTTATCTCCCAACCACAGGCAGCACTGTCCTCTTCCCACTGTCTCAGTTTTCACGTACCCTAATCTAATTCCTGTGCCTGGCTCATGACTCATAGTTTCAGGATTTCAGAAAAATTTAATTGTTGCCAGATAGCTCTGTAAGTTAGTATCTGTTCATAGCCTAGTCAGTAAACTCATACAAGATTGTGAAAAACATTTTCATATATGGACTTTTACATATAAATTTTGGCCAGGGATGTGATTTTTGAGCTCACTCTATTAATATGGTTAACACTTTAATACATTTTGTGTGTGAGGTCTTACAGGAATAAACATAGGGGCACTCTACCACTGACCTATTTCCCTACCCCTTTTTATTTATTTATTTCTTGAGACAAGTCTTGGTCAGTTGCCCAGACAGGACTTGACTTTGCTGTCCTCCTGCTTTAGCCTTCTTCAGTGCTAGGGTTACAGGCGTGCATGAGCACACCCAGCTAATACTGTGATTGTCGGGAAAGTGGCTTTATCTATTTTCATTTTAGTCCCCAAACAAGTAGTTGTTCCCATCCTCTACCACTTGTTCAGTGTTATTTTAATTATAACTTAAGAATACTGTATATTCTTTAATTGGCCAAGTGCACTGCTTTTGCAGTCACAAAGTGTAACACATCTACCCCTCCCAAAGGGTAACATCTTGTTATAAAATTATTAAAATTTGTATTCACATCTCTGTAAGAAATTTAAATCAAGGCAGTTAGCAAATATACTGTACCAGAAACAGAAAATATAATTGATCCATTTTCCACTGAATCTGAATACCGAACCTTGTGGCTTTGATTTTCCAGAGCAGCTGCAATTTCATAATTCTTTAAAAGAATTTTCAGAAATACAAACATAAGACATGCTTACAATAATCTTTATTTCAGCTAGTGAAAAAAATAACATTTCATACCTTATTTTATAACTATACCACTTATACATTTGATCATCAAAAGAGAAAATCTCTGTATGGAGAAAACAATTTTAAAAAGAAGAGCAAAAAAATTTAGTCCTAGTGAAACACTAATTGTAAATTTGGAAATGAATTGGTATACCACAACTATGTTATTTGGGGGCAGAAATTAACTGTGTTAAAAAACTAAGAGAATGAGGGCAAATGCAGACTTTCAGAAGTAAGCACCTTGGAACAGATTCTGACATGCACTAGTGAATAAGTGCAAGATGAGTTGTGCAGTGTTTCTTAGATAGTGGATATAACCACATTGAGCAAGACACACAATAGAGACAATTTTCCAGTTCATTTGTTTATATTAGTTGCTTTCTGGTTTAAAAACTAGCCATCTCAAAAAATTAAAAAAAAATTTTTTAATTAAAATAAAAACTAACCATTGCAAAATTCACCTCATTTCTTATTCTAGTCAAGCAATTAGATCTTATTACCCAAGACACTAAATCTAAGTGGTTAATAGTATTTCCTAAATGGTCAAAACACAAACTTGTTAGTTTCAGGTATGTTAAAATCCCTTAGGTTGGTTAGTTTTATTTTCTTCCTGAACATGTATATCTTAAGCTCATAGAAGTTATACATAAAATATGTAGTTCCTTTCCATCCTAGCTTTATGCTACTTAAGATTTTGTGCTACTTAGATCCTGACCTAGAGTTCAACAATGGTTCTTTGCCTGTAATTTTAAAATTGTACACTATGTCCACCAATGGCAGATTTAGTTATTTAGGGCAACTCTCCTGTTGAAAGCAACTTGAAAGATTGGATAATTTTTTTAAAAATTACAATCTGCTTCAATGCATCATAGAACTAGCAGGATAGAAAAAAACCACATAAGGTTAAAATCTATATAGAAATTCAAAGATCTGATTTCAGCATTTAGGCCATTTCTTCCCTGAGGGCATCTGCCAATTCAGGAAGAGGCAAAAGAGAGGCTGAATAGTTTCTGACAAAAGTAGAGCAGCTCTCACAGGGAATGTAGTCCAGCTTCAAGCCATTTCAACCCCTGAAATTGTATTAAGGTGATAGGAAATTACTAGTGCTCTAAGCATCTAGCAGCAGGACTCCCTAGAGCAAACTTTGTGAATGAGGTCTTCAATAACCAGGTCTGTTCAATTACAGAACAAAGAAAAGGGTATAAGTGACTATTTTCTCAACTCTATAACTACTGCCATTCTACATGTATATGAAGTTAATTCATCATATATAATAAACAATTTAGGACTTTGGTTGCCATATTTAGCAAATAAAAATACAGAATGTATACTTACATTTGAAGTACAAATAATAATGTAATTTTTTTAGTATAAATATATACCATTCAGCATTTGGGACATACTTAATATCTGAAATTCAAATTCTGTGTCTTACCTGGCAAATAGGGAATTAGGGGTTTAACTGTCTTACAAAATTAAGGCTTCTCTAGAAGAATATAACATTCTAGGACTCAGCTTATTTCTATAATTTTTCAAATACAAATTCCAACAAAATTTTGAAAAACAAAAAGATAAGATTACTTAAAAGATGAAAGAAAATCATCAGAAATAATACATAATAGAAACAGGTCCATAGGGGACCCATATAGTAAAGCTAATCAGATACATACCTTAAAATAGCTAAGCTTACTGTGTTCAGAGAGATGAAAGATGTTGACAAAAATTTTTTTTTAAATTAGGTCTCACTATGTAGTTTAGGCTAATCTTGAACTCACTCTATAGCCCAGGCTAGCCTTGAACTCATGGCACTCCTCCTGCCTTTGCCATCCAACTGCTGGGATTACAAGCATGAGCCATCATGCCCAACAATGTCGACAACTTTGGCAAGGTTTCAGAAAACACATAAAAGGGGTGTGAGTCAGGAAAGCTTCCTAGAATTTGAGTCCAACCTGCGAAGTAGGAAAAGCAGTATTTGATGCAGGCAAGTAAAGGAAGAGGATAAAAGTGAGAAAAGCATAGACAAAAAATAACATAGGGAAATGTATTCAGATTTGAAAGTAGAATTCTTATGAATGTAGAAGATGTACATAAGGAAGCTAATTTGGAAATAGTGTTGGGAATAACTGGAGACACTTAATGACCTCTATATCCTACACTAATGAATTTCAGTTATATCCTGGGGGGAAGCCAACTAAAAATAATGTTAATAAAAACTGTAGAAGAAAATAATAAAATTAGTATTAAATTGAGAAAATAGGAACTTTGAGCATTGGTTTGTCAAAATAACCAGAAAGTTAAGACTAGATTGTCCAAAGCCGGGCGTGGTGGCACACTCCTATAATCCCCACACCCAGGAGGCTAGGGCAGAAGGATCATTGTGAGCTCGAGGCCAGCCTGGGCTACAAAGTGAGCTCAAAGCCAGCCTGAACTGCATAGTGAGACCATGTCTCAAAAAGACAAAAAAAAAAAAAAAAAAGTAGATTGTCCAAAATATGTTTCATGGAATATTACAGTCCCATGAGAGCTGAAAGAATGTTCCTTATTCAGGTAACACTGGAAAACACTGAAGGCTCTGAAGAGTAGTAGAGTCAAAAAAATTGTTTAACTGTTTATACCAGCATTCCAGATAAAATCTATGTAATGATCTTTTCTACAGAAGTAATATCTATTCCTTTAAAACTGGCATAGTATCTAGAAATTTTATGCACATAAAATGAAATATGGAAAGGGGCACTTAATAACTGATACAGAATTTATTAGGAAATTTGAAGAAAGCCAATATGGAAATTTCACTACATAAATGGTGAATTTCAGAGGTCAACTTATTCAACAACCTCTACGAAATGCGTAAATATTTGCAAATACATTACTTATGAAAATATACTCACAACAAAGTATGAAACCTAACAGAGCAAAAACCACATAAACAATTACTTTTCTAAATTTCTAAATACATTTTCAGCATAGGCAATATAAAAGAAATCTGCTCCAAACTGTTTTTGAGTGATGGGAATTGAACTCAAGGCCTTCCATATGCTATAACTAAACTACAAACCCAGCCCAGGAAAATTCCTCTATATCTCAAAGTACAAATAATTTTTAAACCATATAAAGTGATTAGGTACACAAGAAATGAAGGGGAGTGTTGCAAGCAAAACCACTGCATCCCACACAGAAATACCACAGAAAGAGAAAACTATACACTGATCTTTAATAAATAATGATGCAAAATTAAAACACTAGCCAAACAAATTCACAAAGAACAAGAATAAAAATCCACAACAACCAAGTACTTGGGTGAAAAAATGCAAAAGATTTCTCAGCAGGTAACACAAAATATGCATTTAAAAATTAGTTATTTCTGATAAAAAGAAAAACTTCATAAATTAATCTTAGATGAATACGTTATCTTATGCAAGGACATATGTATATAAGTGAAAAGAATGACAGATATGATATAAAAGGTAGAAGAAGTTAGTATTTTATTAAGGTACATTACTCAGGTCTAGGTAAGTTTACTGGTGAATTTGTGGGTTTCTTTCTTTTTCTTTCTGTACAACAGGTTGAACCTTGCCCCTTTTACTTTTTTGAGACTCTTACAAAATTGTGCAGGCTGGCCTTAAACTTGCAATCCTCCTGCCTCAGCCTCCCACAAAGCTGAGATTACATGCCCCACCACTCAGAGCTACCTGGTGATTTTTTCAAACATTTGATGAAGAAATTATAGGAATTCTCTCCAATTTCTTTCAGAGGGCTGAAGTAGGGAGGACACTTCCTAACTCATTCTATGAGGGTAGCTATCATAGTCACTTTCCTTATTGCTGGGATAAACTATCCGACAACTGCAACATAAAAGGAGGACAGGTTTATTTTGACTTATAGTTTGCAGAGATTGCAGTCCATAATAGGATGGCTCCAAGGCAAGACAAGGTGGCAGAAGAGCATGGCTGGGGAGAGCTGCTCCAGCACCTGGCAGCAGGGAAGCAGAGAGATGGGAAGAGTTGGGGTGGTGAGGCGAACCCTCGAGTGACCTGCCTCTTCTAACCAGATCCCACTTCTAACAGCGAGTCAGATATCCTGTCCCCTAATCAAGCCACCTTCCAAAACCCTGTCTATGAATGCAAGAGGGTCTGTGTAAACTCAACGGTGGAAAAGTAAAGGCTTTGAGAAGAGATCCCCAGAACATGCCTTCAAGGTATCCTTTGTATTGTTCCCAGTGTATTCTTTTTAACACTAATCTTTTCAGCAACCAAGCTATTCCAACTTTACAGGGCCCAACTTTACAGAAGCTTCCTTTCTGATGAAACTCAAAACTTTTGAAATCACCCAACTGTGTCATTTGCTCTTGATTACCAATAGAGTTGGCTAGAAGTTCCCCAACAGCATCCAGGTGGCAGCCTGAAATGTTAGACTGCCTTGAGATTTTCTCTGCCAGATTAGTCTGCCACCCTTAGCCCTCGAAGGATAAACCTGGGTCCAGCAGACCCATCCCTTAATTTTCTACTGTAAATTTGTACTTAGTATTATAGTAGCCAGCTATACCTTTCCCTGAGGAATCCAGGAAGCAATGTTTGTGTTTACCCACTTTGATGGGACAGCAAGGAGTGTGTACATGTGCAAAAGTGACAAAATTGGATCTAGACCCATCCTACACACCCTTAGGGAACAGTTTTTGGATATGTTTACTCAAGCATCACAGAGGATCCAATAGACCCACAGCATTCCAGGATTTGTTTAAAAAAAAAAAAAATTCTTCTTTTGGTTTTTCTGGTAGAAGTGGCCCAGTTCGGTACAATGGCTCATGAAAAACTAGACCTTCAAGTTCTGGAGGAGGCAAAAGTGAATCTTCAGATTATTTATGCATGGATGATGAAGACGATCCATTACAGTAAAATACATGCTTTCACCACAGAAGAGTGGTATGAG